TTATATAACCTAGCTAATACCTATCTTAGAAGTAAAATATAACCTATAACTAACTAACTAATATAATTAACTTAGTTAGTTCCTACTTATTATTTTTACTTCTACTATATTATACTTATCCGATAAATATCTATAAGAATATAATTTAATAAGAGGCTCTATAAATAATAGTAAGGAATCCGATAACTTAGAAACTAAGTCTTATAAACTAGGTACCTATTATATAGTTAGTACTTAAGTTCGAATTACTTTAGCTTAGTAGCTATATACTTTAACTCTAACTTTAAAAGCTATTTCTCGCTTAGAAGTCTAATTTATACGTAGTTTACTACTAAATTAGACTTTCTAAAGAGTTTATAATAGCCTTTAAAAGCCGAGGAATACCTCTAGCTATAGAATTATATACTTCCGAATTAACTAATTAACTACCTCTAACTAGAGTAGTTAGTTAAAAATCTCATAATTATAGTTAGTTTTGATTTAACTAATTAACTAATTTTAATTAATTAGTTAGTAGTCAAACTCTATGCCGATGGCGCAGTTGCAAAAACGCGTCCCAAATATACAGCGAAGCTTAATCGCCACAATCGAAACGCTTCTATTGACCATATTGGCACGCTTTACCTCTGGACACGCGCTTGCCTCAAGTCGAACTGCCATTGCGTATGCACGCGTTCCACACCCTGTCACCAGAAGACGTTCATTCTAAAGAGAATAATGTCGTGAGACCAAAATAAGGTGTCGCATGCAAACTACTCCGAATTTGTGTGGCATCACCTTGCTGGCCGTCAAACTCCTTTGAATCATCGCAAGTTCATGCGAAGCGAATTTTTCGACCTTGCTTTCGCCAATTGAGCAAGACCGATCCTCTCTACTTGAGCAAAGCAGCACCTTGTTGCCTCCATCAAGACTGCCATTCGATCCTTAAGTCCCGAGCTCTTGTCCCTTCTGGCAGATCTTTCCTTCCAATTTCACCGCGAGGATCCAGAAGCTCATTCCAAAGGCGAGGTTTCACTCTGATTCCGGCCTGCTCTCTATTTTGAGCGAGCCTGTTCCCGACTTTTCAGCATCGAGGACCGCGAGTGACGGTTCATATCAATCTCATCACAGGTCAAGAGCGAGACCACGAGAGGGGTTTCGTTCAAGAACCGGACTGATAGGGAGAAGGAGCGCGAGGCTGGGAGACCATGTTTTCTGTTCGAAAGAACAGGCTTTTCTCAAGACACACGTTGGTGTCGTCGCTAATGACTGTTCAGGTAAAAGGCAGCTACTGTTTGGGTAGACAATCCTGCCTTTTGGGCTGCATGAGAAGGCCAGTTCAGTGAGAGCACTCAGCTGCTAAGCTTTATAAGGATGCGGAAGTAGCAGCTGGTTCAGCAAAAGCTGAGTAACGCTAAGCTGCTGCAAGCAGACAGTGTTCATGTGCTGAACGGAGCGCCCATTCGCTTGAAGCAGAGGAGTCTCAAGAGTTGGTGACGTGATCAACTGAATGCCAGTTGTGCCATGTCGGGACGAAGGCATGCACCAAACCAAGCATAATACGATCGGAAGGATGGGGGCCAGGGATCGGGTTCCTGGGTCGACAGGAAGACAATGCATCGGACTGGATCTGAACCATTGTGCCTAAGTCACTACATTTCGGAGAGAACGCCGCACGAAGGGATTAATGCACTATCTTGGCGTCCACCGCTATACGCAAGGGACTACAGACATCCCCTTCTCGTGTCTTGGCAGGCTTGGCATTAGTGCGACGACTGTGTCACAGCAGTTCAAATTTCTACCATCTACAAGCAAGATCAGGGACATGCACAAGTCTTGTAACAGCACATCTCAACATGGCAATCCTGTACAGACGTCAAGTCACATCGAAAAGCAGCTCGCACGCTCGTGGGCCCGAAAGATAACCCAGCAACTGGGCGCGGAATGACTAGCTACAACCACGAGAGATGATAAGCGGGACCAACGGGAGAAGATATGCTTGGCGTATAACAAGACGGCAGAGCGCGTGGGGTTGTCGTAATAGATAGGGAAGCGGCTGTGAGAGCACTTGATTGTACAACACATTGCAACATGCTGTTCGGAGCTCGTGGGGTTTGGCTGTCCACAGCGCTCTCCTGTGTCTTGGCAACTCTGGAGATCTCCCATCCGGACAGAGCGATATCGGAAAATCGAGCGTCTGGAGTTGCTGGTCTACAAGGCAATAACAATGGAAGACATCCAACGATAGTCGCGCCTCTTGGACGACGTATCGATGTTGGCGGTTTCCAACTTGCACAATCCAGCCTGACGAGGACACACTCTTCCTCCCAAACATATCAGACAAGTACGAGAATACGGCAGCCCAATGCGTATGGCTACCAGACTCATCATGGCATCAACAATGACTACGTTCCCGCTGGACAACGTCTAATCGATGCCCATGCCGTCCAAGCACAAAAGATGGGCAGCCAGTATCTCATGATGGCAGCCCCAGCAGATGGTCCCGTGCACAAGCGACAGGCAAACGCAGTAAGCACATCTGTGGCATCTATTTCAAGCCCAACCTAACACACTGGCCAGGCATATGTCGATGGGAACGGAAAGATCAGCAATGATTGTCGAAACGTACCAATCTACGAAATCGATAACGGCACTCTCTCCATCTTCGTCAGCAACACACAGTACTACTATACCACCAATAGTGGCGTAGATATCCAACCATTCGTCCCATCATTGACCCGAGGATCAATCACGAAGTCGTTCCGTTTGGCTGGAGATGGCGAAGTGTTATGGGAAAACGCTGCGTTTGACGGCGGACAAGCTCAATTTTGCTTAACCAAAGACGGTACACTCTACTCGGTTTTCCGACAAACTGCAAGACCGCAAGACTGCTTGATCATTCGACTCTTGCTCTTCGTAGTGTCTTCATGCGCCCGGATGCCGGAATATGTATCGACCTTTGTCCAAACGCAGACGACGGAGAGAGTTACTGTGTCTAATCAAGTCTCGACCTACCTCCAGACTGTGACCAGCACCTACCAAACCGTCCTCGCAGCTTCCACAGTCACAGCCACAGCGACCTACCAGACCACTATTCCGGCTTCGACTGCTACAGTGACCACTGTTGGCATCGTTACAACCACACGGGCATCAACGAGTATCGTACCTGCATCTACAATTACCACAACAGCTGTTTCAACTCAGGCTGCCAGCACTATCACGACTACTTACCAGACGACAATCCCGGCTTCGACAATCGTGACCACTTACCAGACCACATATCCCGCAACCACAGTTGTACAGACCGTAGTCTCCACTGCCCCGACTGCAACCACAACGATTCAACGAACGACGACAGGCCCTCCAGCCACGAGGACGACCTTCCTACCAGGCACAACGGTGACTGCCACGACAGTAAGACTCTCCTACTACTCACCACCACCTCTATGCGACAATCAAGGAGTAGAGTACGGAGTCTTCCACAATGTTCCGATCTACAACCAGTCCACCTACGATCCAATCATGATGAAAGGTCGTGCTGCTGGCGGTACACATGATTACGTCTACACCACAGGGAATATCAGCCATCCTTCCGGCTATTCAAACTTGTGCCCTAGCTCGGCCACTGCGAGGATCTACAATAATCCGACTGGCTTTCAGTGTGTGGAACTCACCACAAACCATCGCTGGTACATGTACCCACCCATGGATGGAGATTGGCTATTCGAATTCGTCAACTGGGACGATCAAATGTATTTCTGGGCTGGACCCCTCGCACGAAGAGGCTGGGCACGTAACAATACCAATTTTCTGGGCGGCAATGTCAACATTCCCGGTAGCCCTTCACGCAACTATACCATAAATCTAAGGGGTGGCGAGTACGTTCCCATGCGTCTCGCCAACCCGAACGGCGGAGGTGCGGTGTACATGTGGATGAGAATTTGGGATCCTAATGGAAATCTCTTCGTAGATCGTGATATTGTTTCGCCGCACATTGTGCGATGGTCGTGTGATGGAGTCGCGGCGCCGAGGTGGGAGCGGTTCGGGTTTGAAGAAGGAGCAGCAGCGTAGTCTAGAAGCTCGCAGTTTGAATGGAGACTTGAAAAGTAGCATACTTCAAGCTATTGTACCATGGTCTACCATGACACTTTCTTTCCGATGATATGATGAAGTTCGTTCAAAACTCCTCTGCCCGATAAGTCCGAGTCTCGGGATCGACACCGGATATACCATCTAGATCAACGCAAGCACGCGGAACTTCTTCCGTTTGCGAGAAAAACATTGCTAAGACGCGTCTTCACAACCATCAATTCCCATCAATTCCGAACACTTTATCATCGAGAGTCGTAAGATGCTTTGTCATTCCGGCGTCGGTCTCTTGTTTCCACCCGCCGAAGCAAAGTTACTGCAAGCCTCTTCACGAAAGATGGAATCCACTCTCGCGTCAAAATTACCGTTTTCAGAACTGATGTCATGGCTCGTGCATGCGGCGAATAGTTCGAGATCTACCTTCTTAGTAGGGAAAAAGATTTCTGGTAAGGACTGTGATCTTCTACGTACATGCTTGATGATCCTTTTCTGCTAAACAGTAGCTCTTCCTGGATGCATTGATGAATGAGCGATAGCCTCACTCCAGCGACCCATCGGCAGGAACCAAAGGAACGAACCGTAATGGACGACCCAGAAAAGTCTCTCGAGGCGCGATCAGGATCTGCGATAACAGGACCACAGGACCAGGACCAGGACCAGGTACACAAAGCAAAGGAAGAAGCTGAAACACCAGAGCGATCCTTAACACCAGACCTCGACGATCCAGAGAATGATGATGAGCCCCGCCACGATGCCACGCTCACCAAAACAAAATCCCTCGAACAACAAGTCTCACTCCCCAGAGAAATTCTTGTGGTAGGCCTCATAGCTATCGCACAATTCACAACACAAGTCGGGCTCGGCCAAACGCTCTCAATCCTCCACGTGATCGGAGATGACTTTGGAATCACAAATCCTGGAATTCTGGCCTGGTTGATCGCAGGATATTCGCTGACAGTCGGGACCTTCATCTTGTTCACCGGCAGGCTGGGAGACTTGTTTGGATGGAAAAAGATGCTCGTGATTGGGTATCTCTGGTTTGCTGTGTGGTCGGTAATCGCAGGATTGGCGGTCTACTCGAATCATGTCTTGTTTGTTTTCGCCCGGGTAATCCAAGGTATTGGGCCTGCGATCTGTCTGCCGAATGGACTGGCTTTGCTTGGTGGACTATATGGACCGGGCAAGAGGAAGAATATGGCTTTTGCTGTGTTTGGTGCGTGTGCTCCAGGTGGGTCCATCGTGGGCGCTGTGTTCGGAGGTCTGTTTGTCTTGGCTTGGTGGCCTTGGACTTTCTGGTCTTTTGGCATTGCCCTGCTGGGGATCGCTGGAGTCGCTGCATGGGCGATACCTGATCCACAAGGTCACAAGCCAGGCCTTAATGGACATCAATTATTCTCGTGGGCCGCAGTGTGGGAGCTTGATCTTCTTGGAGCCGTCACCGGCATCCTGGGCTTGCTTCTCATCAACTTCGCATGGAACAATGCACCAATCGTCGGATGGAGCAATGCTCAATGCATCGTCACGCTCATTGTGGGTGTCTTGCTCATGCCAGTCTTCTCCTGGATCGAGACTCGTGTTGCACGCAACCCACTTCTGCCCATCGAGGTCTTCACTGCCAGCAACGCATTCGTCCTGGGCTGTATTGCCCTTGGCTGGGCGAACTTCGGTATCTGGATCTTCTACTTGTGGCAGATTCTGGAAGAGCTTCGAGGAGCTTCTCCACTGCTTGCCTCGGCGTATCTCTCTCCTGTCACCGTAGCTGGAGCTGTTGCGGCAGTCGTGACAGGAGCGCTGTTGCACAGGACCCGTCCGGCCGTGGTGATGATGATCGCTATGTCGGCATTGTGAGTCCTGCTCTAGCCATGTACCATTGTTGTTGGTATTCACTAACATTGAATAGTTTGATTGGCTCCGTCCTCATCGCGACTTTACCAGTACGACAAATCTACTGGGCGCAAATATTCGTCACGACGCTCATCACTCCATTCGGCATGGACATGTCCTTTCCGGCCGCGACTCTTGTGGTATCGGACTCGGTACAAAAGTCGAAGCAAGGGGTTGCTGCTAGTCTTGTGAATACGATTGTGAGTTGCTTTCCAGTCCTCTTCTGTTATGACCTGCGATTGCCTTGGCATGAAGCTCGCTCTTCTCGGTCTGAGAGAGCTGTGATCGACGTTCACCTTGCCGCCATGCACGCGCTCGAACTGCTCGATTTGCATCTGCAGAAAGTGGAGTTCTGAGTCGTCTGCTGCTGCTGGAGGGTACTTGGGCTGTCGGAAGAGACTTTGCCGGATGGACTTTCGCTTGGCTTCTGTCAACCCTTCGATTGTTTCGCATGAGCGCATTGCTGCTGATAAGTGTTCCATGCTGACGTCTTCTTCTTCGCTAGGTCAATTACAGCATTTCGCTTGGTCTTGGATTTGCAGGCACTGTCGAGGTGCATGTCAACAACGGAGGGAAAACAGAAGCAGATGTACTTCACGGCTACAGGAGCGGCTTGTACATGGGTATCGGCTTGGCCGGGCTAGGGATCGCGTTGGCAATTTTGTTCCTGGTCAAGACTCTGTATGACGAGAGAAAGTCCGCAAGGCGGGATCCTGGGCATCAAAGGAAGAGTACATCTACCACATCGATAGAATAGCTGAACATTAATGTATATCACCTTGCGGCCTGAGCCCTTCATTCTTGCCACGCAGGAAGCGGAGCTGAGGATGAGCGAAGACCTCAATTTACGCAAGACAGGGGATGCATGTCCCAGGATTTCCGTAAGCTCGGTACCATCAGCTGCTCACAGTCGCTTAGAGAAGTCGTTGGGTCGAGTTCCAGACCATTATCACGCTCAATGATTACCGTTTCTCGAGCAGTTGTGGCTTCATGCATACCGACAAGCCTTGATATACTGGTCAAACCGTGGCAATGTAGTCTCTGCTCACCACGTGTAACCGAGCTGACTTCCATAGGCTACTTCGCAACCGCTGAGCTTACGCTACGGTCATCCAGCTTGATCGTCTCAACACCATCGTCCCGACGTCTCGCAAGAAGCACAGAGAGTACAACCATAGCCAAAGTCGCAAGGAAGAGCGGGATCATAATCCATTTGGCCACAGTCTATACGATTAAATCTCGCATCAGTGTCTGTCTAGTCGCAACAGGCCGAAAAGAACTTACCGCAAGCGTGCATGTCTGCTCGAGCTCATTCCCACTGTAGCCAATACTGTTCGCGAACTCGTATACACCACAGTACCAGCCGATCAGATTGTACGTCCCATTGTATCCCAGTGTTCTTTCATCTTCTGTCAGGTTTTCCGGAGGAGGGACTTCGTATCCAGTTGTGCGCGGCTCAGTGCTCATATTCGCTGCTTGATTGTATACCAGTCCGACCACTGCCGTGAAAAGGCAGGTCAAAGAATAGATAACGTAATCGGATATAGGGATCCTGGAGTTTCTCTTGTCGATCTTTTGGCTCTAAAAGGACTATCAGCAGTGCGAGAAGCGCATCAAACCATTTCGACTACACACCTTAGTTGCCGAGCCACGGATACTGATCAAGATCACCATTAGCAGACTCAGCGCCAGAATGGTGACCGTGGAGCCAGCAACAGCCCTTTCATTGCCATCGTGAATGACTCTGGGCATGGGCGAGAACCACCAGCCGGAGTATTCGTCCAGGCGGCCATCGAAGGTAATGGCAGTTCCGGAACCTGTGGTTTCGTACTCATCCCAGCGGTGATCAACGTTCAACGCCCAGAAAGCGGATATGATCCCACCAACGGAGAGGAGGAAAGCGACGCAGCAAGAAACTAGGAAGGCAACCGAGACCAGGTTCGTTGTGTTGGCCATGATATCTTCCCGTACAGTCAAGGTGGGCAAGAAAACCAGCGAAAAGGAAATACCTCGTACTGCAAATGTGATTTTAGCATAGCGCTGTGCCGCAAACACGCATGATCCAACGACGTCAGGCCATAGTCCTGGCAACACTTTTCTCACGCACGTGTGAGTCTTGGTAGCACATTGGCAATCCTGCGCTAACTGATATCAGCTTTTAGCTTCGCCATCTGAGTTCAATAATGGTAAAGGGGACTGTGCTCCGCCTATGAGTAACGGAGGCCAAGACCAGCCAATTCGAGCGCTTCTGCAAAAAGACAAAATGGAGCATGCCGAGCATAGGCTGGCTCGCCGCCCATGGCGTGGAATAATGTCGATCTGCCCCGCGCCGCACTGCCTAGACTTGCAACTTTATTTTCACTGCATCGGACGCATTTCGACCAAAAGGCTCAGATTGATGGAATACGATCAATGAATGCAGTTTGGTTCTGCTTCGTTGAAACCAAGCAGGCCGATTCGTGCAGTAGTAAGGTACTTCGACTGTATATCGTGGCGCGTAGCAGTCATCCGAGGTGCCTAATATCACTCCTTCGTCATGGCCTCGAGCCCTGTGCTATGCTGCAAAGGAAAGAGGAACCTGGAGCAGGGCATCATCTACAGGCAAGCATTGTGCTGGATCAGCTCCTAGCCCTTCGGATTTGTGCCTGCTGGCCTGCGAATCATCTGACAAGAGAGCGTTCGCTGCCTAATACTTGTGATGGCCTGAAGTGAGCGGACGCCTTGTAAGATTGTTGCAGATCGATGCACAGCAGGACTGCGACTGAGGAAGACAGTGCTGGCTATCGCTCCTGCATCCCCTAGGCCACCAACGACCCCAAGTCTTGGAGAAGTTGGAGAAAGCCTCTGAATGTGTCCGTTGTGATTACCAATCTCGAAGTCTCAGGGCACAATTGTGGTCTTCTCCGTGGATGCTTAGGATTACCCTAGAGACCAGAGAGGCAGTCCGAGGAACGTGGTCGCCTTACTTATCTCCACAAAGTTCGCCCATCATCAAGGTGGTATGCCGCGCTTGTTGCAAGTCATCAGACCGTCTTCCTTTTCGACCAAGGGGCGTTGCGTACGCGTCGTTGGTTGTTGTTCATGTAAGCATCTTTTCGATGAAAAGGATCATGTTGAGCAAAGATGGGAGAAGGAATAATGGTGTAAGGAAGAAGTGCTTCCGATCCTCATCTCCAAAGTCTTGGCGAAACACGCGCGTAAGGCCACCAGGCCACCAATGACGCAATCCGCAGCTTGACGTTGGAGCTCCATGTCGACCGCCTCTGCCGACTGCAAGTGTTCATAGCCGAAAAGCATTGGAGAATATAGCTACCTCACCGCTCACTCCTCACAATGTCCTCCTCTCTTCTCATACCACCTCTCCCCGTCCCCCACCACGACCAACACCACCATCATCACCAAAATGTCCCACCCTAAAACCGCCCGCGCCTGGACCTACACCAACGGCTACCCTCACACCCTCCAACAATCCACCATCCCCCTCCCCTCTCAAGAAGAAATCCTCCCCACCCCAACCCAATTCCTCATCCGCATCTCCTCCTGCGCCCTCAACCCCGTCGACATCCAAACCCAAAACCTCCCCAACTGGAACCTCCCCTTCACACCCTTGAACTACAACACACCCAAAGGAACCGTAATGGATTTCTCCGGCACAGTAATCCTCTCCGGCTCCGAAGTCCCTTTCTCCCCCGGAGATGAAATCTTCGGAATGACATTAGCACCCTACCAACCCGCCCGAGGAGCATTAGCAGAATACGCAGTCTTCGATACGAAAACTTGTCCCGCAGCGAAAAAACCAGCAGACTGGAGTTTTGAGCAAGCCGCCGGGGTGAGTTTAGTCTACCTAACAGCAAAAGCCTGCATCGAAAACATCCGCCCTTGGATGGAAAAACCTTCCTCATCAAAACGCATCGCCATCCTCGGCGGTTCATCGAGTGTAGGAATCTACACAACTCTTCTTGCGAAAAAAGAAGGTTGGAAAATCATCTCCTCCTCTTCTGGCAAAAACAAAGAGTTTTGTTTGAATGAATTAGGAGCAGATGAACATGTGGATTATACTTCACAGAATGTAAGAGAGAATGTGGAGAAATTTGGACCGGATGCCGTGGTGGATTGTGTGGGAGGAAAAGAATGTATTGGGTTGAGGACGAGTAAGAGGTATATTTCTATTGTGGGGGATAAGACGGGGAGGACGATGATGGGGGGGCCGTGAGTTGATCTTTTTCCATTTCTCGAGTTTTCTTGTTTTGTTATGGGTGGGGGGATGAGTTGGCTGACGTTTTTGTGTACAGATACACGTATTACGATTTCTTGCATCCGATCACGGCTGCGACACAGTGGATTCGATGGGCGAAGGGAGAAGTAGGGTTGGGGGAGAGTTATGATGTTGTGATTTTGAGTCCGAAGAAGGAGTGGTTGGAAGATGCGACGAGGACGTTGAGGAAGGAGGATATTCATATTGATAGTGTGCATGCTTTTGAGGATGCGAAGAAGGCTTTTGAGAGGTTGAATACGGGGCGGGCGAAGGGGAAGGTTGTGATTAAGGTGGCGAGTAAGTTGTGATTGATTACAGTGTGACAGCGTGATAAAGTGGCATTTGTATTCAGTCTCATGGCATTGTAGCCTGATGTTTTCGTTCATTACTGCCATTTGCGTGTGCAATCGCCTTCGTGGGGCAGTCAGCTTCGCAACTAGTATGCACATTCTCCTGTCGCACCCGGCCTCTCGTGAACTTAGAGTCTTCTGCTCCGTGACAAGATTTCGCCGCGCCTGTCAAACTTCTCCTGTTTGCTTCAGGACTCTTTGAGACACCCACTCCGCAATGAACGTCAGGTCAATGACTCCCAGGGCCATGGCTCCTATGTGAAGACCGCCGATGTTGTGTGTCATGGTGGGGCGCAAACGTAGTCCGAGGACCGGAAGCATGAAGCCGCTGAAGAAAGCGAAGTAGATGGCAGGGTGGTTGACTCCACACACACGAGTGAACCCGAAGAAGTTCAGTGCATCTGCTGCAATGGAAGAACTAATTGAGAGAAGCGGAAGGGCGATGTCGTTGAAGTTCTGTGTTGGCATTTTGGGCTGTGGAGTCGTTCGTGGTGACTCGTTTGGACGTGGTGATCTTCTTTTCGCTCGGGCGCTTTGGTAGCAGAGCTGAGTTTGGTCTCTGGCTGCTGAGCCCGGCGGTGGAAGCCTGTGCTGGGCTTTTTAACACTCCAGGTGGGAGAGCACAAACAAGTCCTGAGTTGTGAAAGCACAAACAAATGTGCTTGGAAGTCACATCAGTCTTCTCGTCCATTCAAGGCCTGAAGTTCCAATCGCAATCTCCTCGACCGGCGTCGACAACCGCTCAGTAGGGTGGAAGGCGAAGGGTTCGGCCCTTGTTCATTCACAATTGTCGGCCGGTGCGAGGAGGCTGATGGTATCCCACCGCATAGTTCCTTTGCATGACTCGCTTTGGCGCGGTCACGCATAGCAGGATCGTCTCATAGATTCTGATACTACTGCTGAACCTCTTACGGGTCGGGTCGTATGAAGAGCAGTAGTGCCTGTGAAAGTTTCACCCGGGTGAACTGATCTGCTGCTTGACGCGATCAAGTGCAGGCGAAGTCGGCGTTGGTGCAGACCGAGAGGGCATCCAGACCGTACCCTGAGGCGTGACATTCCTCCCAACATCCGGCAATAGCGGCGCATTCGGGAACTCAATCCTGTTGAATGCCAGCTCAGCCTTTTCGTCCGAGTACCGCACATCGCTTGCTTGGGATGGTGATTCCGGCGCCGCAATGCCAAAGGGCATACTCATGCCTTTTGTGAAGATCCTCTCCGACACGTGCTTGATCCATCGCACCCAGCGCCAGTGTTTGTTATTGCGAAAGTATTGCTCGGCGATGTAGAGGAGGAAGAAGCAAGACATGTCGCCTGTTGCGCCATGCCCAGTCTCGACAAAGAATGGGACCAGGCGGCAGAAGCTGAGGACGTAGAAGAGGAGTTCCCTTTCGGTGACAGCGTGCTTTTCGTCTGGTCGCCAGCCAGGGATTAATCGCTGTCGCATGTCGTGCAGAGATCTGATCGTTTGCCGAAGCATGTACATGCGTAGCCAATGCGAGCTGTGGATATAGGCAACTTCAAAGCCCGGGAAACGAAAGGCGCGTGTCATTGTCCGGTCTGTGACAAGATCAGAGAATGGATGGAAGTGTTCGATCTCGACTAGTGCAATCCACGACTTGTCGTCTCGGGCCTCTCTCGCGTGCAAGGCCATTAGATTGCGTCGCGTCTGCATCTGCATTTCATTACAGTCGAATAAAAGATCGTCCAAGTCATTCGATGAACCTGCATGGTTCAAGTCGAGGCGATCGTGGCGTTCGAGCAGAGCCGGTAGACGGAGTCCAAGATGATTGGACTGGCTGTTCATGATGGGATGCAGGCCCGCGAGCATCGATAATTCGTTGTATTCCGCGTTGATGACTTACCCAGGACGCGCCTTGGACACGAAACTCGGTGTAGAATTCACAAGAGGATAGCATACAGGTCGTGGCCATTACTGTGTCATCGTGCACGCTCTCCGGCTTGGATAGCGCGACTCGCAGACTCGCCAGGGACTTTGTGTAAGCTTCAATGGCTTTCTGAATGAGGCTCTTGTCGTGGTGTATCGACCCGATCTGGACCAGTGCTAGAGCATCCAGCGCGTGTGGTAGACATGGCCTACACTTTTGCAGAGAAAACATTAAGTGGGTGAGGAGATTCTTGTTGGATGACCACACGCCTTGGCCATGGGAAGACACGTCCCGCGGGACATAGTAGCGGAGGAAGGTCTCGTACAGGCGGACACGAATTGCGGCTGGCGAATGCAACGATAAGGTGGGATTGTTGTGAGCCAAGGGATTGGCTGTCACGGGCGGTGTTTGGCGTACGTTTGGCGGCTGCGTTCCTGCGTCAAAGGAGGCCCACGTGAAAGTCAGCTTTTCGGGAGTTGTCGATCCTGGAAAAGAGGCCTTGCTTGGTCTTCTCAGCTCCTCCGGGTCGGCCTGGAGGCGCAGGACGGTCTGATCCGTCTGGTCGTGGAACTCGATGTCGCCTTTGCGTGCGACCTTGTAGCCCGGACACGCCACCCCATGAATCAGGCACTTCCGACAACCGGGACGTTCTTCCGAGCATCGGATCTTGCGCTGTCTGCACTTGAGGCAGCCCGTACTCCTCCGCGGCATGCCTTGGCTTGGCCTGCTCCCTGCCACTGCTCATGTCGGTAGTTGCGTAGAGACGACGTCCGCCACTGAATGGCGCGGATCGCCGCTCTCGCTTACTCACGCGAAGCTCCATCGCGACTCCACTTGGTTCCGAATCTCAGAGCGGCCATAGCCGGTTTTGGGAAACCCGACATCGTGAGTCTTCCACGTGCTCTGCTGGGTGGTTGTTGGTGGTGCTCGAGAGGCTAGAGATGTATCAATGGCACTTTCGATTGTAGAACAGTGCATCGGCCAGAAAGATGTTACTACCGCAGGACGGAAGGTACAAGTTCCGCAGCAATCTCAAGGCACCCATAAAGCGCTCAGCGGTGCTCAAGCTCCTGTTCGACCACACGCGACCCGGTGAGAAGCGAGAAGTCTTGCGATACATTCAAGCTTGGGCGGTATCGAGCGCCGCCAGATGTAACGTTTCTTATCATGAACCGTGAGACCTAGTGTCCTAGCGAGCAGTCTTTCAGTGTTGAAAGTACCAGCCAGGATGTCAACGCCTTCACGATCAACACATCGTGCCCTCCGCGCGTGCCTGAATTGTCGGCAAGCGTCTTCTTTGGCCAGTGCGAGACTTCCCTAACACCGTGTAGGCGGAAGAAGATCCGATGTCCACGAGAGGAGCCAGAGTGCTCTACCGTGCGTGCGCTTGGGACAGCACTGCCAATACTCTTCTCAGGCTCGTGTGGACCCACTCGCCAATAGCCGTCCAGTTGATACTAATACAATGTAGCGACAGACTCGACCGCCAACGCGTGATCGCCTTGAGCGTCTGGGGCAGCTTGAGAATAGCCTGAAGCTTCTTGCGCAGGAAATCGAGTATGCTGCTTCCAGGAAGCGCTGCTTTTCATGCAGCTCACCATTCACAGATCTTTGAGAGAGACGGACTCCGAGGGCAACGCGTTGTCCGCGACACATACAATATTAGAGACGCCATGTCCAATACTGGCTCCGCACATCCGTGCGGGCGCAAACGACATCCAGCCTCGACACAACGACAGCATCGAATCTACGTGAGCTTGCTGAGATCTCCGCACCAGTTGACAGCTGTTACGAGGAAGAATCTGACTTGCACAGCTTATCAAACTCATGTCTTGAGCTTTATCGAGATCGATTCACCGGCCAGCCGTTGCCGTTGTTCTCGCGCCCCGAAAGCAAGACATGGCACACTGCCAAAAGGCCGCCGGACATAGTCTGCTTTCCGATGCTAGCTTTGCTCTCCCGCACAGCCGACCGCCACAAGTTCCAGGACAATGCAGCACGAAACGATCATTCCCTTGGGTACGCCGAGCGAGCTTGGCAACTATTGGTAGAGGCATATGCTGCCGGAAACTTCGATGGGTCGTACCTCCAAGGCCTGTGTGTAATGGTCCAGTACGATATGGCAGGTATGACTTTGAGAATATCCTTCTTCATACTGCACGGTTATATTGATGAATGTCCGACAGTCGGAAATACCGCCAGAGCCCAGCGGCAAATTGCTTTAGGACTCCGCATAGCAGAGAGACTGCCTCTGCGCTATTGGAACTCTGGAAATTCTGATCCGGCAGCCGCCCATGCGAGTGCTGAGATCAGTCGTTGGGAGATCGTCTGGTCGTTACTTCTGCTCGATCAGATGTGTTGTGGAGATGGCACTGCGCCCTGTGCCGCTCCTATCGCTTCTTTCACTGCCTGTCTACTGACCTCGCCCACAGAATTATCGGGTGACCGGGATATCTACAGCTTGGACTCCTACTCCCTCGATGCGAGAGGGAACAAACTTGCGGGCATAGCTTCAGTTAATCTTGACCTGATGTGCCTGGCTGGAGAAATCTTCCGCAGTCTGGACAGCGATTTCAGCACAGGTGATAAGCCATTCTGGATGGGCAGCTCGGCGCGAGGAGCCCTCTCGTCCAGACTCCTTGAGGTGGAGACCAGTGCGTGCATTCTGAACGGATGCTACAAATCCGTCAAACTAATTGATGTAGAATCTGCTCACCATAGCTACACGAGCACCGGTCCAGTCACCCGCGTGCTTCAAGAGCCCCATCTCAAACCATACTTTCGAGAGCGCACGATTTACCACCTACTCGATTCCGCCTGCTATTGCTACTTGTCAGCCTTGCCTCCCCTCCTACAGAAGCTGGCTGACAGACGCATAGGAACCATGAATTTGTCATTTTCATGCAGGCTCGACACGTGCAAACTCGTCTTCCACTGACGTTCCTACAGCAATCTTATCACACGGCGAGGCTGTATGCCGATTGGATCTTCAGATTAGTCATGGAGATGCAAGAGGCTGGCCTTCAGCTATACGAGCCTTTCACGGGATATCTTGTTGCTATTGGTGCCTCTATTCATCTTGAACATGCCTCGAACGAGAGTACAACAACTACGATCTCCTCCAAGGAGAAGTTCGATAAGTGTCTCGGATTCGTCGAAAGACTAGCAGAAATGTGGCCTAACATGGAAAAGCTGGTGAATCTTGATTCCATCGTGTGGTTTTTCTGTTTGCTAAATTCAAGTAGGTCCAAATACTGAAGAAGCTGAGAATCCGTTTTCGATCCGTTCGAACACTTCGATATGTCGATGGACAATATGACGGCGCCCAGCCAAAATGTGGCTTTCGAGAAGTTTCTCTTCCGGAAGAAGACATCCAGCTGATGAAGGTTCTCCTCGACTATGCCGCAACCTCGAAGTATAATGATCATGCGGACTGTCAGGCGGACACGACGCATGCGGAAGACTATCGACGGGCTTCATCAGGGCCTGAGACGGGCAATTTTGGTTTAACGGATACCAGTGCGAGCTACACTGCTGAGTCCCTCACTCAAGGCGTACCCAGTGATGCCATGTCCGGGACACAGTGGGACTCTACAAACGCTTGGAGTCTCTTCGGCGTGCCCTGGTCAGAGTATTATCCCCTTGATCCTACGCCTGGACCTTGGTAGCCCAACGACTGGAACATACATATCAGTGTGCTGGCTATAGTTGATTCAATACAGCAGACTATCCTCGAATGGGAATTCTGACAGCAATTCTGTCCCAGTATCTGTCACGACAATCTGCTGCTCAAGTTTGACACCCTCAGCCCCGCCCTCTTCCCCAATATAGCTCTCGACACAGAGTACCATACCTGGCTCGATTACGCCATCATATCCTGCATCTTGAAAGTCTCCTAGATGGTAGATGTACGGATACTCGCCAGACATACCACAACCGTGTGCTGACAGGTAATACCTGTTGGCATAATACTTTCGAGGAATGTCCCAGGCCTGGTCAGCATACTCCCGAAACGTCATTCCTGGCTTGATGATACTGATGTTGTGCTGGACTTGCTCGTGTGCTACTTGGTACAACTCTTTCTGCGCCGGGCTGGGTGCATCCGGACCGGTGTGGAACGTACGAGAGAAGTCAGAGAAGTATCCATGACAACCAATCCTGCACCAAGCGGTCAGCATACAGCCGGGCGCTATCATCTACACGCTACTCACACATCGGTGTCCAGCGCCACGAGTTGATTGCGTCCAATCGTGAAACTGGATGACTCCTGAAACCATGGATTTGTTCTCGGACCTGCGCTGAGCAGGCGCGTCTCGCAATAGTCGCCATTCTGCGCAATAATGGATTGATGCAACACGGACCACAGTTCGTTCTCAGTCATGCCAGGTCGTATGGCGTCTCGAACCTTGCCTACTGCAATTTCTGTTGCTCGCAGCGAAGCAATGACACACTTCAGCTCTTCTTTCGACTTGACCGCACGCGCCATCTCGATGGGTGCCTGTGCATCAACGACGCGGAACCCGAGGTCTTTCAACGCAATCGCAACATTAGCATTCAGGCGCTCAAGACCAAGTGTGGCGCCTTCTCCAACAAGCTCCTTCACCAAATTACCCATCTCTTCAGCCCAAGATCGTTCTCGCTCGGCAATATTCGGACCCGCAGCAACGAAACTTGCAGTCTTCGCCACTCGAACCTCGTCTACTGTCTCGTAACCTTTTCCGAGGTGTTCACAGCCCGTGAATTCGAAAAGAACAGAACGGTCTGCTGTGAGAAGGAGATAGCGAGAAGGTGCATTCCGCATGCTGAAGATTTGCATATTCCGAGTTCCGGTGGCGTAGCGGATGTTCACTGGATCGGAGAGAATTACAGCATCAACGCCGTGTTGCTTCATTTGTGTCCTTACTCGATTGAGTCGATAGAGGCGTACCGCTTTCAAATCAATGCCGGCACTTTCTGGTGCTCTGTCTAGCAATTCGATGTCGGAGAGGTCGTCACGTTCGTTCGACCAGTCTAGGTATGCAGGCATGGTGGTATGAAGGAGCCGCGGATGAAGCGACTTGAACCGAGAATTGGCACGAAGATTCCGTCTCGAGGATGAAACCTCAAATGGAGTATCTGGTGTCATGATCAAACGTAGGACGCGCTACAACGAGGCCGCTCACATGATCGGGCTGTCCGATCACATGACCGTTCCATTACGGCATTCTATCTGCAGGATCAGTGCAGTTCAACACTTGTCTGCTATCCTCGGTCGATGCAAGCTCTTGATGTGGATCGCCAAAGTTCGGAGCCTATGAAAGCTGGGCCTGTGATTTGCTGCGCTCCTTCACAGCGTATCGAAGCTGTTGACGGACGGCAAAGTACCTTTGCCTGAGAGTCCGCCCCAATCCGTCTTGGCATTCCTTCACTCCCTTCGTATCTGAACGTCGATTAGATACATATATGAGCTTGTGGCAGTGACTGTGGCCTACATCTCACTACCTTTCACTCGACTCATTTATGGTAAGCACAGACTTGGGCTTTCCAGCATCATGGTCCAATCCATTGGCGTCATTGGTTCGTGTCTTCCATCGAGCAGACGATTTACTGAGCCTAAAATGAAGCAGGACTTGGTGTCATCGGGCACGGCATCGCCAGTAATCTTCGCAAGAAACTACCACGAGACACTGCTTTCCACATGTTCGACGTCAACAAAGCCGTCTGCGATCGATTCGTCCAAGAATACACCCAATATGGCAGCGTCAACATCTGTCGATCAGTGAAAGACCTTGCGAGCCAAAGCGAAATTGTCATCTCAAGTCTCCCATCTACCAAAATCGTTCGAGACGTTTACCTCAAGGGCGACGGCGTACTTGCAGCAACTCCATCGCCAAACAGACTTCTCATCGAATGCAGCACCATCGACATCGACGACACAATCGAAATCGGCAACAAAATCATGCAAGCCGGACTCGGCACTTTCGTCGACGCCACAGTATCAGGCGGAGCCTGGGACGCGCGAGAAGGCCAACTAGCCTTCATGGTCGGCCACCCAACAAGCGTCGACAAAACCGGCCACCAAATCCACTCCATCCTATCCCTCGTCGGCGTCCCCTCAAAAATCCGCTTCTGCGGCAAATTGGGCATGGGCCAAGTCGCCAAAATCGCTCACAATTACGTTTGTATCGTGAAGCTTTTGACTGCTACAGAAGGTATGGCGTTGGGAATTAGATACGGAATTGACAAGAAAGTTCTATGGCAGTGTATGACAGACGGCGCGGCAAATTCTTGGGTTATGGGGCTTGAGCAGCCTGTGCTGGGGATTGTGGATGATGCGCCTTCGAGTCGGAATTTTGAGAGGGCTTTTGCGGTGAGGTTGGGGTTGAAGGATTTGGGGATTGCGATGAGGGCGGCGGAGAAGGTGGGATTGGAGCCTAGTGTTGGGAATGTGGCGTTTGAGGCTTTTAGGAGGGTGGATGAGGATGAGAGGACGAGGGTGAGTCTTGTTTTTGATGTGAAGAGTTTGAGTAGGGGATTTGTATTTTACTGACGGGTTTTGCGGGTAGGATCTTGATCATAGCTCGATTTGGTTGCATGTTACTGGTATGCTGGATGAGTGGTTCAAGGAACATAAAGCTAAGCTCTAGGAGTCGAGCGGACTAAAAGCGTGGACGCTCACGAGTTACAAGTATCAAATCTGATGTTCCGCTGATTGTAAATATCGTATGCTTTTGCGTGGATCGTTGAGCTTTCTGTATCTTGGTACGACCGTTGATATGCCTTTTCCCGAAGTCTGGTAGAAAATTCTTAGCTGGTTTAGTGAGATCGACAAAGCCGCTGACGTTTTGATACAAGACATGGCTGCGAAGCAGTCACACACTGCATGGTGCCTTGTATCTTGCAGCGTTAATTCGGTCGAGGCAGTATGGCAGAGCGATGAAGAGGGCGAATGGCACACATCGATACATCCGCCGGCGTCCTTGAACGAACGGCTGGTATCGTTCATCCGAAAGCCGTGCAGAACGGTTCACAGCAACACGGCTCCTCCTATACGTTACCGTTCCGCCACATTTTCCTGAAACGGAAAGCGCTGGATTTTGCGATCAAAAGTACGTTGATATCTCAACCGGGCAACACAAGTGACATGGTGGATTGACAGTTGGACAATCAGTGCAGTCATGTCGCAAAGCAGTCTGACCGATCATAGAGCACCATAAAAGGGAGACGTATCGCCTCTCTTGCTATCGGCCATCGACCTCTTCTCTCCCGTCCTTTTGCCTCATCATACCAGAGACACCATATTACACCTCGACGATTTTCACACCATGCACTTCATAAAATCGATGGTCTTGGCTTCACTAGCCGCAGCAACGAGTGCACAAGTGACAGCTTCTAAGATCACACAAGGCCTCAGCGACATCAATGCCAAGTCGTCAGAAGCTGCTACCATCGCCGATAACGTTTCGCCAACAAATGTCTTTAGCGAAGCACCAGTACGGACGAATGCTTTTCTCACATTAAGCACATGGTTGCTAATTGCGTACGCAGAAACTGGTCAACAGCATGAAAGAGCTTATCGATCTTGAGACCACTCAAGTCGCTGCTCTTCAAAACAGGAAACGCGCCCTCAAGATCCGTCAGACCGTGCCCGACGTCCCGGAAGAGTGCTTGAATCTCCCTGAGCCAGAGCTCCAAGAATGCATCGATGACTTGGTGCCCAGCTCCTCGTCCACAACTCTGCAAGCACGTCAAGCATCTTCTGCGTTCTCAACTGCCGACCAACAAGAAGTGTGCGAAGCTTTTGACGTCTATGCTGCGGATTCGACCAAGATGCTGGAGAGTTTGAATGCGCAGGCAAAGTTCCTTCGTCAAAGCACGCCTTTTGCGCCGCCCATTGCGGCCGCTCTACGATTGATTGAGAATAGCTCGGATGCTTTGGCGTTTAGTATCGTCGAAAGGATTCCAGATTGTGCAGAAGGCGTCAAGGCCAGCCAGGATAAATATGCGAGATTTTTGAAGACGGTGCTTGCGGCCTATGAGTAAACAGAATACTCCTGGCTTATGTCCGCTCGGAGGCACAGCGGCTTGAGAATGTTAGAGGGTCAAGCTCACCACAACTTCGCAGAGCAAGGCTGCGGTAGTGCCGCCGCATAGAGAAGGTCATTGCATGTTCATTACTTTGATTACTAGGGAAGCGATCTCAACGTAGCAAAGTTTTAATGCTTCGTACTTGCAAATGGGGATGGAGTAAGAATGAAGCGCAGGGGTCGCCGTTGCTCGATTGAGCAGTCATCCAGGAAGAGCTACAGGCTAATATGGTACCATGTAATGCACAATGCGTTGAGATAGATCTGCCTATGGTTGTCGCATCTAACGCGTAAATCCACTGACTTCGAACGATATTGAACTTCCTCTTCCCTCATTCTCTGCGGTAGTCATATGTCTGTCGACAACAGACAGAGGTCTGCGGACGGGAGACTTGACGCTCGTGAAGTCATTGACTTGATCAACATCTGTAGGTATCAGCCAACAGGCTGAATCCACACAACCTGGCTTCCATGGCGCAGCCGTTCCACATTTCCTATGGATAATACGCAACGATTGCTCATCGAGTGAGATCAGCGCAATTATTAGCATCTCCCTCTCCGAAACGGTGCAGCATGGTTCATCTGCAACCGTGATCGCCAATCTGTCCTGCGATTGCTTGCATGTATCTGGGACCGGACATACCTGTGCGACCCATAGGACGTCTCAATCGTCAACGACAACGCTTCGGGCACTGTGTTGAGCTCTCTCTCCCTGTTGGTTAGTGGCAAGGACTCGATATATGGTACTCTCTTTTCACGCTGTATTCCGACCACCGCCAATCTCTCACTCTGTTAAGCCTAACTGAAAGACCGTCATTTCTTGCATCACGTACTTCACTAGAGCTATTGTCTTGGCTTCGCTGGTCGCAGCAACAACTGCTCAACTGACGGCCTCGGAAGTCATGGAAGAGCTCGCCGACATTACGAAAAACTCCACCGAAGTCACTACCGTCGCAAATGGTATCAGGGGGCCAGCAGAGGCCTTTGCGAACGCGTTGGTATGTCCCATCGGTGATGACTTTTTTGTGCGACAATTGACCTTGATACAGACACTTCGCGACGGCCTCAAGGGCGTTCTCAGTCTTACCGAAAAGAGTGCTCAGGACGTCTCGTCAAGAAAGCGCTCGCTGAGCACCCGCCAGGAAATCCCAAAAGAGTGCGAGGGTCTCATCGATCTGGAGCTCCAGGAGTGCCTTGAAGGAGTACTCTCAAGCTCTGGGACTACGGCTCCTATCCGTCGAGCAGACATTCCAATAGAATGCGAAGGCCTTGTTGATCTCGAGTTACAAGAGTGCATCGACAACTTGGTGCCCAGCTCTGCAGGTACACCACCTATACGCCGGCAAGTACCAACCTTTTCGACCGAGGAGCAGCAAGATGTCTGCGACGCTTTCGACTATTATGTCACGGTCACACAAGCATTGATGACTAGTGTGACCAGCAAGAAGCAACTTCTCTCGCAGACGCCTCATTTTGGAACGATTGGGGACCTACTCCGTGGACTTGAAGACGCGGCTGACGTACTTGCTTTTGGCCTCATTGAACATGTGCCAACTTGCTCGGCCGATGCAACTGCTGATCGAAAGAAGTTGGGCAAGACTCTTGGTGCAGCGGCCAAGGCCTTTCATAGCTAGGGAACATGCTTGACAGGATTGTTAGGCAGTGTAACAAGTCGGTATGTGGTAGCAGAAGGAGTGTGATTGATTCTAGAAGCTTTGCTCATCGAGGGAGAAGGAGGGGTCGACTTAGAGAAAAAACGTGGAAGTACATTAGGAGATTGGGTTGTGGGAATCATCTGAGGAGCGAGACATGAGTTTAGCATAATGACCTCGTACACGATTTTAAGTCTGCCTTGCCGACTGTCCCAAGTCTTCTCATCGTAATCAAAGCTGGAAGACGACATGCATCACTCCTGGGTCAACAATGCATCAGTGACTGCGTGGGTCCGGGCAATTCCGCAATGATGTGCCAAAAACATCGCGAAGCCACTGCTGGGGCATCTATGCTTTTCTCACCGATCGACAACGATCAGTAACGTATGAGTTGGGTGAGTGCCAGCCATTGACCGAGCCGGCTAGCCAGCGTTTTCGGCACCGTTGAAAAGGGTTCCGCCGAGGAAGATCAGCACAACCGTCAACGTTTCATGCCAAAACACTCAAGCGTGTCGCGTAATGAACGATCGTGTCGCCTATGTAACGTTGGTAGCTGCAGAGACAAGAGTGATCGCTCGAAGGCTATACGTTATGTATGCACGCTAGTCATTTACTTAGTTGATCTATGGTACTAGTGATCAGCATTGCCCGCAAACAGGAAAGCGTACCATTCTTGGCCCTGCAGACATACGTTCAAGCAGCAGCACGACCGCCGTCATCAATACGTAGATTCTTTTGGAAATCTCGGATCGTTGAGCAGAGCTATGCTACGGTCTCGACAGGCAACAGGACAGTACAAAGCCTGCATGTTCAGGTAAAGAGTCCTAGCTACCACTTTCATCAATCCAATACTTCCTACAACGTCAATATGCACTTCCTCCGATCAGTCATCGTAGTATCCCTCGCCGCAGTGGCGAATGCCCAATTGACCGGCCAACAAATCGCAGAAGAAATCCTTGAAGTGACCCATGAGATCCAGAAGGTCAATTACATTGCTGAGAGACTTAACCATGAAAGTGAATACAATGAGAAGGAGGTTTGTAGCCCAGTTGTTGATGTGAAGCTCCGCTGACATGATAGTCAGAGACTTCTGAATGGCATCGAGAAGGTAGCCTCCTACACCAGGGCAGGTGCCCGAGAAATCCAACGAACGGACCGTTCAGTCAAGACTCGTCAAACGATGGAAGCAGACTTGCCACAGTGTGAAGACGCTGTCGATGTCGACAAGTGTCATGAGGATATCATTACACATACACCACCGCCAGCTGCTCTCAAGACTCGTCAGACGTCTTACACTCTGTCAGATGAAGAGTTAGGGGACATCTGCAAGACCTTTGCAGGTTACACCACCATCCAACAAGATCTGCTAGAGACCATGGTCGAGAAGAGGTCGATTATGGATGCGTCGCAGCTGAGAGATGAGGCCTCCAAGTGGCTGCGTGATCTGAGACGCGCTTCGAACGCCCTCACTGCTGTTGTCGTTCCACATCTGACGACTTGCTCTGAAAATGCTGTGAAGAAGAAAGACGGATTGGTGCAAAGTTTCAAGCTGGCTGTGGAGGCATATGATTCGGCGTGAGCTTCTCGACAGCGTCGGCCATATTGAACGACGAACAAGCAGGGCTGGGAGACCTGAAAGTGGTACAATGATGTGATCTGGAGCTGAACGTGGCTAGCTAGCTACATTCATTGTGTCGCTCGGAGCAGCCTTTCAGTAGGGATGACCCAACAGATACGAATTGATCTAGAGAGTATCTGTCGGTCTTTGATCGACTGTATTGTTCCGATCGAAGATAATCATAAGTGCAGCCAGTCCATTCGATGTCTGGGCAATGACATGCAATGATACGAAAGACGGATGAACTCTAGGGAATTTTGAGATGATATTCGTGTTCCGGTTGGCGATTCCGTTATCAGGTTTCTCAACGATGTATCGTTTGCCATCTGCAAATGCAACACGAAGGTATGCTCAGCCAAGTGCAGGATGTCAAAGCAACTTCGAACTGCCAGCAAGTCGCATGCTGAAGGCTCGTATCTATATCGAAATCGACGACGCCGCTGACGTTCTGCTGCAGGTCTTAGCAGTAGCCGGTAAAAAGCAAATTTCTTCTCGGCACAGTAACCACCTGTGTCTCCAATATGTGTCATTGAGAGACGGTCCCACCATAACATCACTCTTGATTCTATCTGCCAGCCCATAGCCTCTCCATAGCTGTTGTCTATACGCGATTGTGTGACCGCGTTAAAAGAACTAGCGTTCGACCTCAAACTTCCAAATCTGTAGCAATGAGTGATCCACAACTCACAGCTACAGAGTTCGTAGGTGGGATAGAATCAATTACCGACCAGATCAAAGCTGCCCGCGATACAGCTAAGCAGATCAACACGGCAAGCCCAGAGAATTAAAAAGATGTGAGTATCTGCGTCACTGCTGCGACACTCCGCCCATATAGACGGCAGGACCTTTTGCACAGCTTGAAAGCAATCTGTGATTACTCCCGAAATTTCGTTCACGCGGTGGAAGCAACAAGTCCGAATTATCTGCCTGATGAGGCAAGGGAAATTGATGCCGCATTTCAGGACTATAGCCAGTCCAGCATAGAGCTGTTGGAAACTATAGTCGCCGATAAGCCTTTCGTGGGCTCTCAGAGCATGTGGAATGTGGGGTCGAAGGCTTTGGAAGATCTCAGAAGTGCTTCAGACGCTTTTGTTGTTGTGGTTGTCAACTGTATCTATGGTGGATCCGAGGCAGAAAGCATCCGGGCGAGTCTGGCTTCGGCTCACGAAAAGACGATCGAAGCACATCGAACTTGAGCAGGGTCGTCGTAAGACTCGAAAAATCGAGCAGAGGCAGGACAGAAACGGGCCTGACAGCCGAGTTTGACCCTGTGTTACACGTGCAATCAATATCATGTTTGTCAGAGTGTACAAGCGGCCCAACATACCATTTACTTAGCGCCCATCCGGTCATTCTCACCGCCTCCTCACCAACCTCAACGCCAAACCTTCCTTCCCATTTTCATCTTTCACGCCGTAAATCCCTCTCATCTGCAATGTCAAGATACTCTCGCTATCCTTCATCTTCCTCTCCAGCCTCACTCGTACTTCTTCCTTACTCTCCCACTCCCCACTGTCACTCTTCTTTTCCGGCACAGCTTCAACTCTGTACCTCCGGAACAATGTAACGAAAATGCTCACAAACTCTACTTGAGCCATCTTTTGTCCTGGACAAACTCTCGGTCCAAGTGACCAGGGCGAGAATGTGCCTTTGGGAGGTTGAAAAAATGTCGGCTGGGAGTTTGAATCGGACAACGGAGCGATGTTAGTGTTGAGCCATCGACTCGGTCGGAAATGCTCTTCATCTCTCCGATCTTCGTGTTCATTCCACTCCTCATGAACATTCAAGTTTCGCCACACGTCCGGCGCGAGATGAAGGCCAATGTTGTTGACATACACAGTCGCATTCGGCGGAAACCAGAACGTTCCTCTTGATGTCGTAATCGTCTGTTCGGTCACAGTCTGCTTCGCCATATGGACCAGAGGACTGAAAATTCGAAGTGTCTCAAACATGATGGCCAAAGTCCTGGTTGCTTTGGGAAAGATCGAAGTATAGTCCAATTCTTCAGTCGAATCTGCGGAAGGAAGAATCGAATCAAGTTCTTCGAACATCCAGTCCTGCCATTCCGGATGACAGCAGAGAAGGACAAGAGCGTAGGATAGCGTATTGGCTGTCGTATCGAAGCCAGCGGCAGTGAACACGAAGAGGTTACCTGACATTTCCTCTTCGGTGAGGACACGAGCGCCGTTTTTAGTTTCGCTTTCGGAGGCCTTGAGGAGTTGAGACATGATGTTGTTGCGACTCTGGCCAGCTTCGGCATTTTGTGCCTTTTCCCGCTCGAGAAGAGACTTGTTATAGGAAGGAAACTCTTTGACTGCTTGGCCAACATCGCGGAGAAACTTGTGACCGGGGAGGAAAGAGGGATAGTTGTCGAGGAACCAGGAAGGGAGGATAATTGGGCCCGCGACGGCGTTTATGATGGCGTTGACAGCTTGAATGTAGGTCATGCGATGACCGGGTTCGGGCTTTGCATTCTTGTCGTTCTTCCACTGCGATCACCAGCTGTCAGTATGTATTACCTTTTTCGACGTAGAGGGCAACGGGGATGAGCCACTTACATCAATACTCTCTCCCATACCAACTCCGCTCAGCACATTGATGGTGATCTTCTTCATGTAATCAAACATCCTCTTGGTCTCCGCCTTCTTTCCTACGGTGCTCTCCCCAGTCCCTCCGAACACTTCCTCGATCATACTCTCAGTCTGAACCACACTCTCTTGCCAAACCGCCTTCGAGATCCTCTCAGTAATGGTGCCCGCCACGACTCTCCTCTGACGATGCCAGTCATCCCCATCAGCAGTCAACAAATTCCCTCCAAATCGACTCATAAACATACTCGTCAAATGATGCTGCACAAAATCTCTCGGTCTTCTGAGAACCTCATAAGCCACCTCCGGATCCCTCGTACTAATCTCATACAACCCCGGCGTAACCATAACATAACTCAATTCATTCCCTTGAGGTTTTGCAAACCTCTCATACGGCTCAAGCTTCTCTTGAAACTCGAAAGAATAAATCGTCAAAGCGAGTCGTTTCCAGATCCAAGATGGTAAGAGTTTCGAGAGGTACGGTTGGAGGGGTACGGAAGCGACCATCCAGAAGAAAGAGTTTTGGTCCCATGGTCTGAAATTGTATCATGTATCAGTTCGTTGGAATTGGGTATCGAGGGGGAAGAAAGTAGGATTGGGATTGGTGGGCAGTGAGGGGGACTTACACGAAGAAGTACGGCAACCCAGATTTCCTCGCATAGATCGTGTTTCGGATGAAGTTGTACAAGTATTTTGAAAAGTACAACCCAACCAAGATCGCCGCAACGGCAGTATATGAAGGCATCTTGAATGGCTCAGATCGGTGGCGACAGCCGTTCTGTCAAATCTTTTCGCCTGTCTTTCGAGACGCCCACTGCGCAGACGTTGTACACCAGAGCAGGAGTCGTACAAACCAGTATGCGCAGTGTCAGAAAGTATCAACTCTTGAAGGATCTAAGCTGAAGTCAACACCAAGCAAGCGCTTCCACCAGCCATTGAAATCGTTGAGATCCTGCATGACTCAGCAAGAAGACAATCCTTCCAGGTTTCACGCCTTTAAGCGAACTGCATCCTGGCGCCTCGTATTGAACGAGCTCGCAGAAAGCGCTTCAAGCGAGAAGGCGAACTGTTAACAACCTCATGTCGTACGACGGAAGCTGAGTTCCCGCCGTGTGCCACCGTAAGACGTGAAGTTAGAACAAGGGTACGATCACACAAACTCACCAATCACAGCGTTGGTTCACGTCAGCGGAAACATCGGAAATCCTGTGCCATGTGTCTGCGTGCACAAAGCAAACTGTGAAATAGAGCGCGTGTTCAGCATATATCTGAGCCACGTACTCGATGCACGAGCCCATGTCGTTGTAGCTGGGGGCGCGAGGTGGCTAAGATAAGTCGCCAAGATATCTCGCCTTTTAGACCTCACCGAAAGCCGAGCAGCAACGGGTAGCCCTGCAAGTGATGATGGAATAGCTGACACGGTAGGGACACAAGCAAACAACGTCATGGCTAGACATTTCGCATCATGACAGATACTGTGAATCGCTGTCAACGTTCTGATTGCAAGCTAATTTTTGGATGTTGATCATCACCGCAAATTTGACGCTTTCTCTGCTGCTGTGCCACAAAGGCAAGGGAGAATGGCCAGAATCTCATACCAACCATGCTTTCGAGTATTCAGATTTCTCAGCCAGCCCTCGCCGGATCCGTTCCATACGTCTATGATTCGTCGGAAGAATCGCCCGGTCGCCAGCGTGGTGCATTGTACCACAACCTTGTTGAACTCGTTACTCTCTCACGTTCCCGTCGAGTATGCGCATTGTCCTCGCTGTACGCAGAGAAAGTCCCATCACTTTGCTCGTCATCGTCAGACTCATCGTCGACGCGCCAAAAACGTGGCGGCAGAGGGTCGCCTTTATTCCATCGGAATGTCACCCAGGTGTCGTCTGTTTCATCGAAGTACCACTATTCCTCGACTTCTGGAGGCGGCACGGCAGCGGGCAGGACTTCGACCAGATGGCGGCTAGCTCTCCAGCATTGAATCAAGTTGTCTTCACCGGTCGAGCAGATGACCCATGGGTCAGTGCGGTTCCACGAGAAGTCGGAAATCCTATTAGTGTGTCCTCCATGCATGAATAGCATCTCAGGCGGGCCGTCCTCGGCATCATCTGGCGTTTGCTCAGCGCCTCCCTTGGACAGATCCCAGAAGATGATGCGACGATCGTCGGAACTGGATGCCAGAATACCAGAGTCCCAAGGGTGCCAATCGACCTTCGTAATGACATCTTTGTGGCCCTCTAGGCTGTGAATCTTGCCGTGCTCTGGGAAACGTAGATCGAAAATACCAATCGTCTTATCTGCAGAGCCAGTGGCGAAGAGTTTGTCGTGCTTAGGGTGGAAGGATAATGTGTTGATGGCGTCGGTGTGGGCGTTCAAGAACTGGATGGCGGGCTTGCTATCAGATTTTGATCGGTTGTCCATTAAGCACATGGTGAGGTCATCTGAAACGGAACCCCAAAGATTCTTGCCGTGCATTGGGTGATACTGCACATCGTTGACCACGGCGGAGTGGTGGGTGAAGGTGCGGCCAGGTGTGATGGTCGTGTTGTCGCGAGAGAAGTCGCGAGCAAGATTCCATAGTCGGACGGTCTTGTCCTCGCTACCACTGATGAGCTCGCCCTCGGTAAAGGGACTCCACTCAACAGCAAAGCCTTCTCCTGTGTGGCCCTTGAGAATCGCTTGGGGCTTGATTTCGTTTGGCTTTGGAATAGATGGGTGCTTTGTGCGGTCCCAAACGTAGAGATTTCGATCGGGTGCCCAGGTAGCGATGATGTTGGGATTCTGAGGTTGGTAGCGGGCCTTGTTGACCTCGCCAGGATGTGTGATCTTCTGCACGACTGAGAATACGATGGGCTCTTTGGCAGCGCCGTGTCCTGAGAGTATCAGCTTGGCCGAGACGCGTTCGCAGTGGTCGGGCGTCACTCACCTCCCAGCTCTTCGCTCGCAGGGTTGTAATCAGCCATTGACATGGCTGGCGGTTGTGGGAGATTGATGTGGGCGATCTGCAGATACTCTGCCTGCGCGCCAGATGTGTGTGTGCCCAAGATCATTCGGTGTTGACGCGACGTCTTTCCTGGCTCTTGCTTCACATCGGGCAGCCATTGGGTGGTGAGGGTGGGCCAGTCGAGGGCGCGGCTGTACATGATGTCGTAGAGGAATACGCTGTTCTTCTTCCATATCTTGTACTCTTCATTGATGATCTTGTTCTGCATAGCCTCCTGCTCCTCGGCGGAGCCGGCCATTTCTGTGGAGTAACGGTAAGCAGCGGTCGTGGGATAGGGAGTGTAGTGATGGCGATGGTGGTTGTTGGTGGAGGATGTACGGGTGGTGTACGTGGCAGGCTGAGGTGTTTGCAGCTGAGACGGCTTGGGAGGAGGAGCAGCAAGAGTAGCTTCGGCAGCCTGGAGCTCCTCTTCGCCGACGACAGTGCCGCTGTCCGAGGCCGTGTCCTTGTTGCTCTGCACGCCGGGGTTGGTGAAGATGGAGTGGCCCGACACCTTGACGCCCTGCAGCTCACGCACTATGCGGGACTGGCGGCGGTGGTGTTGGGGCTTGGAGGGGGGCATGGCGGCGGCGCGGCGCGGTGGTGAACTTACTGGAGTCCATGAGGAGGAAGAAGACGCAGACGCGCTGCTCTGCTGCAGCGGCGAGTGGAGTGGAGCAACCTCGGTATTGCACGGCCCGATTGGGGAGCAGCGACAGGAAGATGTGCAGATGGCAATGAGTGCAGGCGATACAGAATCTGGCGATGGTGGAAACAGCGATGCGCAGGCCAGAGCCAGAACGCGAGGCAGGCGCGACGCGTGATGAGACAAGTGACGAAAGTTGCCAGTTTTGCGCTAACTAGAACTAAGTTAGACAAGCCGCATCACGTGATGACCGCTGGACTGGACGTACCCATCTTCGTGTCACCACCGCCGACCTTCCTTTCTCCTCCCAAGTGACTCTGTGTCAGAACCGCCCTCCCCTTCCCTTTTCACCCCTCTACACCACCCCTTCATCCCCGCGCGGGACGAGAGACTGGCCGGTCACCTTGCGGCTCGTCTTGAAATACAGCAGCCGCCACCATGGGTGCGATGCGATGCGCCTACGAAGCAATGCGATTGATGCTGACTGACCTGGCGCAGGTGTTCCCAAGTTCTTCCGCTGGCTCTCCGAGCGCTATCCCGCCATTTCGCAGCTCATCGCCGAGAACCGCATTCCCGAGTTCGATAACCTCTACCTCGACATGAACGGCATCATCCACAACTGCACCCACAACAACAATGACTCCGCCACCAAAGCACGACTCTCCGAAGATGAAATGTTCATCAAAATATTCAACTACATCGAATTTCTGTTCGGCAAGATCAAGCCACAGAAGCTGTTCTTCATGGCCATCGATGGCTGTGCCCCGCGAGCAAAGATGAACCAACAGCGTTCCCGTCGTTTTCGATCTGCTCTCGACGCCGAGAACGCGCGCAATAAGGCCGTTGCTGAAGGGCAAGAGTTGCCCAAAGAGGATCCATTCGACTCGAATTGCATCACGCCAGGTACTGTCTTTATGGAGCGCTTGACGCGCCAATTGAAATACTTCATTGCGAAAAAGGTGTCAGAGGATATTGAGTGGCAGGGTTGCGAAATTGTCCTTTCGGGCCACGAAGTCCCAGGAGAGGGAGAGCACAAGATTATGGAATACATTCGCCAGGCGAAGAGCCAGGTTGGCTACGATCCAAATGTGCGACATTGTTTGTACGGGCTGGACGCCGATTTGATCATGTTGGGTCTGCTGTCGCACGATCCACACTTTTGCTTGCTGCGTGAGGAGGTCACCTTTGGCCGAGCCAGCAAGGTGAAGAGCCAGGAGCTCGAGCACCAGAACTTCTTTCTCCTACATCTCTGCATAGTGCGCGAGTACCTGGAGCTGGAATTCCAGGACATGAAGGAGCCCGGCTCACTGGGCACGGTCACTTTCGACCTGGAACGAATCATTGACGACTTCATCCTCATGGCCTTTTTCGTCGGTAACGATTTCTTGCCGCACCTACCGCATCTTCACATCAACGAGGGCGCACTGGCGCTGATGTTTAATGTCTACAAGAGAGTGCTGCCACAGGCTGGCGGCTACATCAACGACGGGGGTGAGATCAACCTCAAGCGACTAGAGCTGCTGATAACAGCACTGAGCGATATCGAGTATCGTCACTTTGAGCATGAGAACGCTGATGCCAGCTGGTTGAAGGATAAGAGCATTCAGAAGGAGGATATCATGACCAAGAAGCCGAAGAAGGGTGGCATTGCGACTATGACATCGAAGCAGAAAGAGTTGTACACTTCGGTCAAGAAGTACGTGAACAGCAGACACGGTTCTGGAGAGGATACACCCTTGGACTTTCCGCCCACGCTCAAGGCGGCAGATCGCACATTCATCGATCAGCTAGCGCAGAGCTTGCGCCTAGAGAGCAAAAACATCGTCGACGATGAAGGCAATCGCCACATGCAGCTCAACTTTCCTCCACGACCAGAAATGGATGATGAGGATGACGAGGACGAGGAGGCGCAGAATGCACTTCTGCGTGTGTTCAAGCAGTACGACAAGGCCAAGATCGAAGACCTGTCGCCCACGGATGTGCAGGAGATAGCGCAGGAGAAATACGACAAAAAGTTCGCAGAGTGGAAGGACAAGTACTACACGACCAAATTCGAGTGGGGAGTCAGCAATGACGAAGAAATGCGCAAGCTGACCGAGAACTATGTTCAAGGTCTGCAGTGGGTGCTGTACTACTATTACCGCGGCGTAGCGTCGTGGGGATGGTACTACCAGTACCACTACTCTCCCATGATCAGTGATGTTGTCAAGGGAATGGGCGCCAACATGGACTTCAAGCTGGGACAGCCGTTCCGACCATTCCAGCAGCTGATGGGTGTCTTGCCGGACCGCAGCAAGCAACTGGTGCCACCTGTATATTGGGATCTGATGACGAACGCAAATTCTCCAGTCATCGACTTCTACCCCCGCGATTTCGAGCTCGACATGAACGGAAAGAAGATGGAGTGGGAGGCAGTGGTCAAGATTCCATTCATTGACGAACAGCGTCTCCTCCAAGCGATGGCGCCGAAAGACGCTCAGCTGTCGGAGGATGAACGTAGGCGGAACGAGTTTGGCGTGAGCTTGAAGTACACCTATTCTCCAGAGGTCGATTTCACCTACCCAAGCAGTTTGCCTGGTGTTTTCCCGGATCTGGAGCATTGCCGAGTTGTTGAGAACATCTATGAGCTACCTACTATGGAAGGTCTGGAGTACTACCATGGACTGATGGACGGCGCCAAGCTGGGCAATGCATCACTGGCAGGCTTCCCCAGTCTGCATCATCTTCCATATACTGGCCAGCTTGGTTTCCACGGTGTGACCATCTTCCAGCAAGAAAGCAGAAACGAGAGCATGATTGTCACGCTCTCCGAAGGCGAAGAAGTTGGAACGATTGCCCACGCAAAGCAGCGTCTTGGCAAGGCCGTGCATGTTGGCTACCCATTCTTGCTCGAGGGCAAGGTTGTCAGTGTGACCGACGAAATGTTCACATATCATCTCCAGGATCCCGACCAGCCGGCTACAGAGCAGAACATCGTCCAGTTGCCACACCAAGGCAGGGGCATCGAAGACTTCAAGAAGAAGGCCGACCGACTCGAGAAGACCTACAGCAAGCGTCTCGGCTGCATCATTGGAACAGTTGAAAGCTTGGTACAAATTGAGCCTTTGGTCGGTCTGCGCAAGACCGAGCTTGGGGCTACTGTGAAGGAGTATGCGCCGCTGCAAGGCTTCGAAGTTGATTACGCTACACAGACCATCGTTGATTCAGTCATCAGCGAGGATCAGCGTTTCTTGGAGAAGGCAGCTGTTCCGATCGAAGAAGAATTCCCTCCCGGCACTCGTGCCTTCTTCCTCGGCGACATGGCTTACGGGCGACCACTTCAAGTGACCGGCCATGTACCCGATGGCAAAGGCGGACCAGACAAGGCAACTGTCTGGATATCGTCGCTTAAGCAACGTGAACCCGAATTTGGCCTGGACATCGTCAAGCAAGCCGAGAGGAAGAGCCCGTACATCCCATCCTACCAGGTCGCCCGGCAGCTGCAGCTGCACCCACTTGTGCTATCGAAGCTCACCTCGTCTTTCAACGTCAACTCCTCTGGTCTGAAGCTTAACTTGGGATTGAATCTCAAGTTCGAAGCGAAGAAACAGAAGGTGCTAGGCTACAGCCGCAAATCGGACCACGGCTGGGAATACTCGTCAAAGGCTGTCGACCTCATCAAGCAATACATGATCAACTTTCCAGAGTTCGTGGCCCGCATCGCAGCGAACCCAACAGGTGACGGCTGGGAAGATACTGCTTTCTACCCAGATCCGCAAGAGGCCAAGATCAAGATGAAGGAGATCGGACAGTGGCTCAAGAGCGTGGAAACGAAATCATTGGAACGCGTTCCACTTGAGGCCGAACAGCTCGATGGTGACACTGTCGCCGCGATCGAACGTGCTGCTGATGCAAACGAAGTAGCCATCAAAGAGGCCATCGTCGGCACGCAGATGGGCGGCGTGCCTCGTCACGCTCTGCTCAAACCTGCTGACGCCGATCAGCGCACACAACACCAACAGTTCCGTCTTGGTCACCGCGTTGTTTATGTGCTCGACTCTGGTCGAGTGCCTATCGCTATGAGGGGTACCGTCGTGGGCAAGACGCGGACTACTAGGAATACTCTGCTGGACATCCTGTTCGACTCTACCTTCATGAGTGGCACCACGCTCAATGGACGCTGCTCGCCCTTCCGTGGTAGCACTGTTCCGGCAGATGCAGTATTGAACTTGACAGATCGCCAAGTTGTGGCCATGTCTCAGGCGGCTAAGGACCGCGTGCAGTCCCGGCTGCCATTTCAACCCCTGCGCGGATCCGCTTCTGCGAGCAACGCCGGCAGCTATGGTATGCCAGGTGGCCCTCAGCTCGTCAATGTCCCGGCTCCGGCTCCGATTCGCGGAGGCTGGAATCAAGCTGTTCGCGGCCAGCAACAGCAGAACGGCTACGCTCCTCGTGGTGGACGTGGTCGTGGAGGTGGTCTTGGCAGCCAGCAGCAGCAGCAACAGCAGTCGACTCTACCATTCCACCCAGCTGCTCGCGGCCGCGGCGGTATGAATGGTAACGCCACTGGCTTTGCGCCTCGTGGTGGAGCATCGAATGGTTCTGCTCCACGTGGCGGACGTGGCGGCAACAGAGGTGGCTACACTGTTGTTGACAACAGTGACCCTCTGGCTGGTGTGGTGCAGAACAACCCGAAGTTCCGACCACAGAACTACTCGAACGTGCCGCCGCCTGCGAATCTGAACGCAAATGGACGTGGAGGCGGTGGCCAGGGACGCGGCAGAGGTGGTGGACGAGGACGTGGAAGAGGCAGAGGTGGTGCAAATGGACAGCAGGGAGAAGTTGCTGCTAGCTAGGCAATACTCTCCACATGAGGGATACTCGAGCTGCTCAACCGCGATCAGCGCCGTCTATTCGTGGCAACAATACAATGAAAGATTAACGAGCTCGGAGCAAGTCTCCAGCACGCAAGCCACCAGTTTACCCTCGTCTCGACAGTTCTTCTTTTCACCAATGCACATGCGATATCCATACAGCACGTGCAAAAGGTTGTGTACCCGCCCTTCCTTGTCGGGAAATCACTGTCGGCCCTGATAAGGCAATCTTGCATGCAGATAGAGCTAAGCTCACAAATGTCTCTCGCGTCGTCACACACTTTTGCATGACATAACACTCCGTCCACAGCCACATCCCTCAGGTGTTTCATGATTCTTCACGACAGTGCGTCGAAACAGCTTGCTGACGTTCCCGCCGGCGATCTGAGGCTCTATAGTAGTGGCCTTGGCAACTTGGCGGGATTCGCGGCCCTTTTTCGTTGACTGCCCGGGCAGTACGGTAGCAAAGTTCGTGCTAGGGGGTGCTAGTGTCTGTTGTAGTCTCATGAGTATTGGAGTGGTGTTTTGATCTATTTCTTCCCATGATGGGAAGAGGGATAGCCCTATGTTCTGATTAATGTGGTTGACTCTGGTGCTGGAAGAGATGTAGATGTGTCCTAGCATTGGGAGTGCTGCGACGAGTGAGTCCTCTCGAGGCAAGACCTTCTCCATGGACAACGACTACTACGGTGCATTGATATCCGGTAAAGCGTTGTCTGTACCGTCAGCCGCGATTTCTGATGGTGAGATGCTTACCGATCTGCCAAGGGGAACGGAGCCTCGTGGGGCTTTTCTCTCGTCCACGTTGTGCAGAATTGGCATTGGCAGTCGAATGTTGAAGAGATTCTTGGCCAAGTGGTGCGAAGCCTATACCATGGTTTCAGATGTTTGTTCTTAGTACGACAAGTACTTGGCTACGCGTATGTGTAGTGTCTGCACGAGTCTGGGCGAGAAGGTGATATACAGTGGCTCCTTGAGGCATTGATGAGGATTATCTACAAGTTCAGTCATTCGTTTCGACAGTTGGCTGTGGTATCAGCACTTGTCGCTCTTATTCTCTGATCCTTTCAATTCGCATCGTTGTCGCCCGACGCGTTAATTTCACATGGCTCACGATCTCGCCCGACAGATCGACTCAGATGATGTCACTTCCCATTACATGCCCGAGAACAGGCGTCAGCATTCTTCCAGTACAGTATCGATAGCGTGAGTGTCACGTTCGAAAATGTCGGTTTCGATGCTAAGCTCTTTATCCACAGTTCCTCTATTTCCAACGATTCAGAATCCAGCCAGACGGCACGACCACTCCTTCGAACAAGAATCAGCAATACCATCAAACGCAGCTACAGCCTCTCCAAGCCTCTGGAGCTCTTTCAACGACTTCGTCTCCTTCTCCCATTGAATCCTGCAGCGCCCCCGAACACACCGACCACCTCGTCACCACCGCCTCCCCCGGCGCAACAATCTCCCTCACGCACCGCCTCCTACGATGGCCTTCGCGGCATCGCCTGCCTCATCGTCTTCAACTTCCACTTCCTCTACCCCTACACCAAAACCATAACCCACGGCTTCGCCGTCGAACGCAACCCCAACGACCCAATCTGGAACCACCCCCACCAACTCCCCGTCATCTGTCTCCTCGTCCGCGGCCGAGCAATGGTAACCCTCTTCTTCGCAATATCAGGCTACGTCCTCAGCTACAACTTTCTCGAATCCACCCTCCACTCCAACGACGACCCAACAAAACGCTGGACAAGACTCTCCTCCCTGACGTTTCGCCGCTGGATGCGTCTCTTCCTTCCAGCAACAATCAGCATGACAATCGTCATGTTCGCATCTTTCATCGGAGCTTTTGATTCTGGACGAGAATTCCAGAAATCTAGTGAGTGGTTGACGGGTTGGTGGGAACAACATCCCCCTCGAATGGAGAATTTCGGAGCACAGTTGCAAGATTTTGCAAAGATGTGGTGGGATTGGCAAACTCCGTTCCAGTGGAGATTGTATTATAGTTTGTATGATCCGCATACGTGGACGATTCCAGTGGAATTTAGAGGGAGTTTGGTTTTGTTTGTGGTTTTGTTGGGTTCGGCGGGGTTGAAGCAGGGGTGGAGGATGGGGGTATTTGGGTTGGTGACGGGATTTTGTTTTGCGAGTAAGAGGTGGGATGCTGCAGCTTTTGTGGGTGGGGCGTTGGTTGCGGATTTGCATCTGTGGGAGGGAGGTGGTGAGGCTGGAGGGAATGGTGGTGAGATGGATGAGAAGGATTGCCTTCCTCGATGGAAAGGGGAAGGGAAGGTTGCTGGCGTCTTTACACCACGAATCACGAAGTACGTCCTCACGGCGATCAAGACGATGCTCCTCGTGGCATCTCTCTGGATATTGTCCTTCCCTGACGACGAAGCATGGAAGACTCCTGGCTTTTCCTGGCTCAACGACGTCACTCCATCGCCCTACAAGACACAGGATCTGCACCCTTACAAGTTCTGGCACGCTTTTGCCGCAGCGTTCGTCCTCTGGTCTATTCAACGTCTCTCATATGTTCAGGGATTCTTTTGCCTTTCTGTCCCTCAATACCTAGGCAAGATCTCCTACGCTTTCTATCTTGTTCACGGACCACTTCTACATGGAGCAGGATTCGCATTGCAACCTAGGCTTTTCGAAGCCCTCGGAGCTGCAGATTCGACCGCAAAGTGGGTGGGATGTTTGATTCTTGGTTGGGTAACGATGCTGACGCTGTCAATCATCGTGGCACATTTGTTCTGGATGGTTGTCGATGTGCCCCTGGTCAAGTTTGCGAAGTGGATGGAAAGAAAAGTGTCTCACTGAGGACATCGTTGAGCGTGTTATGGTGGAAAGCAGAGTCTGCAGCTCAGGTCGTGGATGACGCCGACTTGAGCAAGGAGAGGCCACCTGATGCCAAAGAGCTCGCGCATCTGTGCTCATACTTTGCTTCTGCTCTACACTGCTGTGGATGCTGCTACAGCCGGCAACAGTCTACATACAGTCTCAGTAGTGCACTAGTTCTCTTTGGGATGAAACACGCGACCAACACATCTGTATACTAGTTACGAAACTGCATCAACCTTTCATGCTTTCACTACAGGCTCACAAGCGCTGAATTCTGTCTTGGAGCTGGCATGGTGGATATTGAAGCGACTAGTGATGGTGAGTGAAGAAGCTGCAATAGATAGAGTACGTGATCGAACAGGCAAGTCAAGACCACATGCACACGATGGATCTGCCACCGTCCAAGCCGACACATCATTCGTACGCATGAAATAGTGTGACAGAAGCGAGACAGCAAGTAAGGCCATCAGAGAAGTCAATCTGTGTTATGACAGAGGCTCGGGGTAGTCGGAGCAGCGGTTCAGGATGAAGCGAGTCTTGTATATTTAAGATCGTTCGATCAGCAGCCATAGCTAACGCCACGAAGCAGTAATTGCACACTGCTCGAAGCTCCTGTGTAGCCACACCTCCCCAACGTACACCCTCCACTCGGAATATGCCAGTATCGTCTGAACTTCGTTCCATGTACTGTTGTTCTATAAGGCTATTTACGAACATTTGCCGTGTATGTAATGTCGTCGAGTGCCATCTGAGCCGTCAAGCCGCCGACTGCAGGAAGAGCCGCCGTGAGAATTCGGGGCTTCAAGCTCTTCAAGCCGCTGAAGCGTGCAGGAAAGACCTGCGTCTGGACTGGCTCGGGACCGAGCGAAACGCCCGCGGCGTTCAACTTTTTGACCAAGAAAATGGCGTCGAAAGTCACTTCTTCGCCAGTAGTAGCCTTGGTGCCAGTGTAGCGGATCGTGCAGCTGATCGCTGGAGCCAAGGCCCCGTTCTGTGTTGCCGCATAACAACCACTCGCAACCGACTTCATGTCGAACGAGACGACCTGGCTGCCAGAGTACGAGCTGGAGATCTCTGGCTTAGCGAGAGGGTCGGTGAGAAGGTATGGAGCGAAGATAGCGTTAGGCTTTGAAGAGGCCTGGATAGTAATGGCTCCAGCAACAGGTGCTCCGAGTCCGAACGCAGTGTAGGCAAGACTGAATGAATGGTAAGCTGTTTTGTGGCTCGGCATGCACGTTTCGCCTTACCCTTTGTATGGCGTGGGTGGTCCAAATCCAATTACTGGGTTGACGTTCTTGATGTCTTCAAACTGTTGACAATTCGGCAAACTGGAGAAGCAACAGTTCATGCAAGCAGTTATACATTGGCAACATATTTGACGGACGTTGTGTCTTGTACAGCGATCGCGCTGACAGCACAAACGGACAAGTACAAGCTGGCGAGGGTGATAGCGGAGTGCATTGTCAAGAACAGTAGTGTTGATGTTCTAGAGCATCTGGACTATGGTAAGGGACTTTGTAGCATAACCGCTCCAGGTGATCGAGATTGTCCGGTGCCACCTCATGGCACTACTCGTCGAAGGTGTGCGGCTGCGGCGCCTCAAAGATGTAGTAATAATGCGGTGCAAGAGTGCGCTACCTCGTGTAGGAGATGTATTTCCTCATTTAGGCAGCACATTTCTTCGATCCAAGGAAGAAGCTAAGATGAAGAACGAAGACGTATAGCTTGAGCTCGGTCATCCTCGGCGAACAATTTGGTGTGTAGGACAGACGGATTTCGGATGACGCATAAGGCGTGTCAATCAAGACTGGTGGCGAATGAAGTGTCTCTTCTCGAGATCCAAGTCCGACCTGGCAACTGTTCCTCTGACTCCAGATGAGACAATACTAGCATTCTATTCCGGATTCTACTTATAGTGACAGCTTCGAGTCGGGAAGACTGTACTCAAACTAAATCCCTCCACAAGATCGATCGACCGATCCAACGCTATCAATAATTGGGCCGATCTCAACTATTTGACCTGATAGCGGTGAGATCGATGGGAAGAAGAGATGTCGTCGCTAGACCGATGTGTACCGTAATGGTGCATCTCGTTTGCTACTTGGCCGCAGAAACCGCGTATTTGATAGCCGAACACTGTCAGCTGTGCCAAAGCCGTGCATTATTCACCGCCGGTCTCTGCGTGCACTGACACTTGTCGCTTGCGACCTGTGCGACTCACTCGAACGCTACGATTTGCTTTGTCATTGGGCAGCATGTGATGATGAGCTGCGCGAGCTCGGGATAGGCTGGACGAAGTCTCCGGATTGCCCAATCCGGCAACTTTGTGTCCGATGAGGATGTGAGAAATGTCGATTCCGACATTGACAAGGGAAGTCGATGACGACCATAGACCTCTTCGATCTCAAGCTCGATTGTCGATTCTCAGGGACTTCAGACACAATCTCTATCAAATCACTTCATTGGCCGAGTACACTGTACGTCCCGGGCTTACCGCCAGATTGTCTTGAATCTTGTGTTTTGAGTCAGATCCATCGTAAGCTGCATTCTAGCCCCTTCTGATCCCATCTTCGAGCTCGTTTAGCGTGTGTTTGGACATGCGTCTCTTCGATCCTGGTCGCAGTTCTTGAGCGCATCTGTGCAGTACCACATCACGAGCAAATGCAAAACCACAACGTGAAGCATTGCAACTGCCGTCGAAGACATCGCGTTGGTTTTGGCTGAGGGGTCTAGGCTTAAAAGGCATTGAACCGAGTACATGGAAATTTCTTACATGCCCGATGTTCCTTTGCTCTGCCGACATTCGCGAAATTCACACGGATTCAAGTGCAGGGCATGTGATTAGTGAACATCAGGGGATCTGACGACGGTGGCCTAACCTTCCAATCGTATCAGGTGACGATTTCTTGATTTCTTGGTTTGCCTTGTTTCGACTGCGTTTCGCTCGTTTGCGTACGTAACGATACTAACCTCGGAGCGATACTCTGCGTATATAGTCGTAAAGCTATATCGGTCCGGTTCCTCGAGTTTTAGAAGTTAGTATACTATATAGCGCTCGGATTTCGAAGAAATCTCGTAGTCGAGAGCAGCTTTTCTCGTCGCAAAGTCGCTGCCGAGAAGTCTAGGGTTTAATTAAATTTTGATTATTGCTCGTTAAGTTTTAAGTAGGAATCCTGCGAGTAGGATTTCGAAAATCTAGTAGATTCGGATTCGTAATAGAAATTTGATTAGTTGCCCTAAAGTTAATTAGACCCTAAAATTCTATAGTCGCAAAAAATTAACTTTGCGACGAGAGAAAGTCGGACTTAGTCGAAGCGTTTCTTCGTAATTAGAACGCTATATAGCTTCTCTCGGAATATAAACTTTATAAATCGAGAGACTATAGCTCGCAATAGTATTTAGAACTTGAGAAAAATATATATAGGCCCGACGATAGGCGCAAATAAGGTCGATATATCGAAAAACACAAAAAACAATTTTGCGAAAACCGAGTTTTATAAAAAGCTCGGTTAATACTATAGTTTTCAAAACATAGCGGAATCTCGAAAACCGAACATAAGCAGCCGATACGCGGTTTACTAGCAGGATAACCTGCCTCAACCCCTAGCGTTATATAGGATTAGGCTCAATTTCGATATCTTCTCCGGGCATAAATGTTTAAACCCGATTTCTATGCAGAATACTTGCTGCAGAGAGCTTATTTCGCTGCGATCTGTCTCTTTATACGTATTAATGTGCTGCTACACTCCCTTCTCGTATTTCTACTGCGTTGTTCGAAAGATCAGCTACGCATTGCCTCTTAGGTCCGTCTCTTGGCGATTCCGCTATGTTTTGAAAACTACAGTACGATTGGAAGCTTAGGCCACCGTCTGACGATCCAAAGTTGTAACAGTTTCTGACGAACCCTTCCTGGTTGTGATAACAACCCACTTGAATCGGTCAAAGATTAAGGTAGCATTGTGGAACCAAGACACGCATAATCCACTTGATTGAGAAAGCGACCAAATGCGGATCTGTCGATATAAAAGGTGGATTCAGCATCGGAAGTCGATCTTCCTGCCCTGATGTAAGCACTTGCAGGACCTAACATCACTAGAGCCGGCGAGCTATCCGTGACACACCGTGAAGACAGGTTCGCGGCTGATATCAGAAGCTTGTAAAATCGGTCCATGCCCTGAAATCGCTCCCGTTACATCTCAGTTGGCGCTGACGACTTAGGCCTGCCGTGAGCGTCAATGATAGCCAGCACACGGAACAAAGGCTCATTCTCTCTTCTCATATGACTGAAGAAGTCTGTTCCGTGCTGGAGGGGGAAGTATCGCTTGTTGACGCCCCTCTATGTAGACATAGGGGACAAAAGCCAACTGGATGGAACCTGACTCAGACTCTAGATGATGCCAAAGTAATGTCCAAACTACGCTGCCCCTATGTGTCTGTGCCGTGGATCGACGCTGGGTGATGGGCATCTGTTTTTAGCTACGCTGGAATACTTTCATCTTGCCAGTCATCACGTCTTTCTCGTCTGCATCAGCAGCAGCCATCGCCGTCTCAAAGAACAGGAGGATCTGCAGTCGATTCGGTGGCCAGCAGTGGACTGGCCGAGGGAGGACAGTATGGCAGGACATGTCAACAAGATGCAACTCACAGGATTGTCTCAGAGGCAGCGACGTTTGATGGTGCTCGTTCTCACGGCGATCACATCACTGGCTATGATATGGCCCGTGTATGAAAGTGTCCGGCCGGATGGTATAACAATGCTGGAAGCCTTCATAATATTCTACGCCACGGTCTATATGCCTTTTGCGGCAGTAACTTTGGTCGAGTCGGTTCTGAGCGTGGCCATTGTGACTTTTGGTAATGCACAGAGATCCATACAACCATATTTCCGGGGTCAGGGACCACTTCCGAAGCTGTCCTCCACAACAGCCCTGGCTTTCTGCATGCGCAATGAAGACCCGAAGCCGCTTTTCGACCGGCTGGATGCTATGCAGAATGCCCTGCTGAAGACCGGCCGACTTCAATTCTTCCGTTTCGTTCTACTTAGCGATACAAGTAACGAAGAGATCGCGACAGAGGAGCTACGCCACTTTGCTCGTTTCAGAGACGACATCTCCAAAGGAATGTCCCGACCTCTATTCTATCGCCGGCGCAAGATCAACACGGGCTACAAGGCTGGAAACGTTCAAGGCTACCTCGACTGCCATTCTTGCGGTGACGACTTTTTCGTCGTGCTCGATCAGGATAGCGTCATGTGCAGCGATCTTCTCGTACGGCTAGTCTCTAGTATGGAATGATACCCCCAGCTTGGTATGATACAAACGGCGTTTTGCTCGATCCCTCCACTGAGCGCATTCTCCCGCATCACGAGTTACAGCAAGCGTTTCAGTGCACGAGTACGAAGTCTTGGTCAGGCTTGGTGGCTCGGTGGCAGCGCATTGTACTGGGGCCACAACGCTATCATACGCACTGCTCCATTTCGCGAACATTGCAGGCTGCCTGAGCTTCCAGGCAGGCCACCTTTTGGTGGCCACATCATTGGCCACGATCTGATGGAATCAATTCTGCTGCGCCGTGCGGGATACGATGTACGACTGCTGCCGTTCACTCCCGGAAGTTTCGAAGAAGAGCCCCTCAACCTCATTGAAGCCCTTCCTCGGCATCAACGGTGGTTCCAAGGCACGATGCAATACTGGTTCCTCTTGAACGAACCTGGCCTCAGCTTCTTTCAGCGAAGACAAGTGGTTCGGATCTTGGCTATCTACCTCATGCAAGTCGTCTCGTTCGTCTTGACGCTCGCTATCATTGCGAACATAATTCTCAATGGTCGAAGCCCCACGTCGACTACGAGCGGCAGCACACTGCCAAAATTGATCATCTTGCTGATCACTAGAGGCATGAAGACAGCTGCAATTCTTGAAGGTGTTTTGCGGTCTTCCACCAAACGATATGGTGGAATTTTGCGATGGTCGTTGGCTATTGTGATTGAGTCGATGTTCGTTATGCCGTTGACTGCGATAATCTCTGCGTCAGTCACGTATTACCTTATCGCTATGCTGACAGGCCACGCGGTCTCCTGGGATGGTCAAAATCGCAATCGACTGGGTCTCAGTTGGCGCACCGCATACGGGGCGCTGTGGCCGGTGACAATGGTTGGACTCAGTGTTCTTGCATTACTTTGCAGATACCCTGAATTGCGAGACTGGTGGATCATCAATTGGGCGCTGTCGCTGGCGCTATCTGTGCCTTTCACCGTGCTGACTGCTTCGCCAGCTCTTGCACAGTTCACGACACGTTGGAGGCTATTCACGACTCCAGAGGGAGAAAAGATCCCGCCAGTGCTTCAGAACATTGTGGACCCACAAGTTAAGAATTCTTCAAAGGCTATTATAGATCGAGCAAAGGCAGAATAGTCGTCGCCGCCTGGTCGCTGACCTACGGTCGTTAGAAATATCTCGGTATTAATTTAACTAGCCATGGAGCCTTCACTTGTATGCTTCGAATATCAAGTCCCGTGTAGGAAGACGCAACTTACTGCTACCGACTGACAGTACTCTGCACTAAACATAAGGGTATAGAAGGACAGTTTGCTCGCGAGACAAGTGCACAGTCCGAACGAAATCGTGATGGTGTGGGTAGCGTTTCATCCCAGCCTGAATGCGCAGCCAGCCGGACATCAGATAAAACTCGTCGTTGGATTAGCAGATGGCTGCGAACCGGAGTTCAGTCAACAGTGGCGGCGTACCCGTCGAGTATACTTACCAGCATGAATCATCGCACTGCGGATGTTTGGATGTAGGAATTCGATGGCAACATCATTCCTCACCTCTTCTTGAGATCGACCGGCGATCTCCAGGTACATCACACGTTGAACGTCGGCGCATGCTGAACTCGGAGCTACGCCGACAGAACGATGGCAACGATCCGGCAGCGTCAAGCGGTTGTGAGAGTTCAGAGCCAGTCTTGCTTGGTCGCATAGAACTTGGACGATGTCGAGCGGATGATAGTGCCATGCTTATCCTCAAACGATGGAGGTCCAATGCGCCGGTGCCTTGGATTTGCCTCCTTGATCCCTCTGTCTCCCTCAATTTCGCCATCTCTCCTCCCGCTGTTCGGCCAGCACACATCGCCTCATCGATTTGCGTATGCGGAAGGGTAGTCTAGTGGCTTGTGCAACGCTTTACCTTGCAAGTACAGGATCAAAGACTTCAACGGCTGCGATACTTCATGACTACAGGGTACCAGTCCATTCCTGCCAGCATGCGCCCCAGTTTGTCCGCGATCGAGCTCTGCCTCCCTCAACGCGACATCGATATGTCACGGTGCTTCTCTACAACTGTTGCTTCTTTGTCTGCCGTAAATGTATCAGCAAGGCCTCAGGGCAACGGTCCACGCCATATGTATGCTCCTGGAGCTCACATGATCGTCCAATCAGAGTACAAGTAGACCAAGTGTGAGAGTCTGGACAGCTAGACACGCACTCGATCGCTGCGGTGTGAATCTAATGCACGCAGACCACGTGCACAGCCTTTGCGAGCCGCTTTATCGAGACAAACCGTGGTCCAGCGACCCGTTGCTTTGTCGGTCGCCCCGTATTGCGGTCAACTCGGGAGCGTGACATGAGTGCCAGACCTAATTGCATACAGAAATACTGCTCTCGGCACTGACTTTCGCGGGCGATGATGGGATTACACCTGCCAAAAATGTGTTTGTATTCCGAAGCAGACCGCCCACAGCCTCCCGTCATCAGAAGTTCACAAATTTCCCGGCCGCGTATTGTTTCGTTGATGGGCATCGGACAGTCTCCAGCCCGCGTGTAACCCGTGCGTCACTTTGGCAGCGACGGCGTAATATGCCTCTCTTGGACAGATGGCAAAGCCCTGTCCCGGGGCTTGGACTGCTTCCCGTGCCTTGGATGGACTTTTCAAAACCTCCCCACGTGCCGGTCTAGTGATCTTGAGTAGGATCCTGGTCATGAGTCCTCAATGCCATTTTGAAGTATAGTCCAAGCTTCCGTGTCGGCGTGTTCAGGATGCCATGCTGAGAAATAGTTCGTCAAACTTAATCGACCTTTCTATGCCGAGCGCCAAGCACGAACAGTGTTGCACGGACAGCAGATAAGGTCTACCCTAAACTCGACATGGCGGTCTTCCAGAAAGGTTGTCCGGTGTACCTTGCAAGTCATTGCTTCCAGAAGGCTTAGACATAAGACAATCTTTGAGGCTCGATATTCCAATTGCCAAGGCAGCTGTAGGCCCGCACTGCAGATGCTGCCGTCATTCAATAGCTGAGAGTGATTACTGTTCGCCTGCTGGTATGTCCTCAAGTTTAAGCCTCTCAAGACGGCATCACCATAGATGCACTTTCTCGTTCTGGACGAAGCGCCGGTCTCCAATGCATACCGTGGACAAATCGATATGCGCCAATAGCCTTGCATGAGACATCGTGCAGTTGCAAATGAAGCGTCCGTGACCATTCGGCACCGTAGATCGAACAGTGGACGTTGCTCCTCTCTCGATGATCGCCGACTCTGCGCGCCTGAGACGCCAGCTCACCTATATAATGAGGTAGTTCGCCCCCATCGTAGCACATCAAGCAACGCACTCATCACAAGCACAGCGAACCAGCTTGCCAGCACTTCGCATCACTCACCTTACAACAAATACTTCCTCACATCGAATCACCATGCAGTACCGCTACGTGGCATTGGCTTCCTTGGCAGCCCTCGCAGTGGCAGCACCAGTTCCAACTGAGGAAATCGACTGGAACAACCGTCCTGAGGTTCAAGACCTGGCGAAAAGAACGTTCCCATTCTTCACTTTCTGGAAAGAGTTCCTGCCGTCTTCAATGCTTACCGCTTTTGAGGACAAAGGTGGAGATGCTGGCGAACAGGGTGATGGTGGTGACTCTGAGCTCACCAAACGTGCAGAAGAGGAGCAAGGTGATCCGTTGAAGGCGAGCGCTGAAGGCCACCATCCCAAGGGCGTAGGTCACCATGGCACCGACCATGATCCAAACTACTGGTGCTGGGAAGGCGGCAATCACCAACAGAAGGGCCGCTGCATTGGTCACCATCCACCCGGCGTAGGACATCACAAGGGAAAGGAAAAACCGCCTGGTGAAGCTGAAGTTTCTAAGCGTACAGCTGAAGCGGAGGTTGCGAAAAGTGCCGCTGAAATGGAAGTTGCAAAAGATGCAGCCGGGGACCAAGTCGATCCGATCCAGGCGAGCGCTGAGGGCCATCACAGCAAGGGTGTGGGCCATCATGGAACCAATACCGACCCAAGATACTCGTGCTGGGAAGGTGGGAACCATGTAAACCCTGGCGGCTGCATCGGTCACCACCCACCCGGTGTGGGACATCACAAGGGCAAGGGAGGACACCCTGGCACAGCTTAGGTTGCAGAGCGGCGAGAATTTAAGTTGGAACATTGATGATTGGTGGCGAAGGGAAATGCGATCGTTCTGTTCTTGAGAGCCATTCGAGCAGTATTCAGAAATTTGTTAATATAGCCTAGTCTCGCTTTAGTATAAGTACCATGTGCCATTGCCTACTCCTTGTCAGTCGGTTCTCCTGAGAGCTTACAACGTATAGGAATATTTGGGATCAATTTTTGCAACCGCGGAATACTCATCGTTGCTGAGAGCCAGGGGACATGCAAAACGGAAACATGAGTGCTTTACCTACCTTTGTTACTTAGGCCATGTTGCAAGTGCAACATGATACATCTCAATATTCTTCGCAATATCATGAGATGATGAATATCTCCCTGGAAACCCATAACGTCATGTGCTTGTCTACGCTCTCCCAGCCAGAGAACGACAAGGCAGTTTCACACTGGGCTCCAGCCTTCGGACTTTGAATAGTATCCTCGTGACTGATGCCAAGCGCGGTCCCGAGGAACCCGCTGCAGTGAGCAGCCATACTTTTTCTCCGCGAATCTTTGCAAGCTCTTCATAAATTCTTCGAGGACTTCATTATGGCGGGAATAAACGATCACTTCGGTAACTGGCGACGAAGTCGCTGCTACATAATTTCCTGCGGTCTCGAAATTGACTTGAACAAGAAGCGCTTCGGCAGTGGCCATTGTCAACGTGTTCTCGACTGTCACTTTGTAGTCAGGGTGTTGCATGAAGGCTTTGCGTCGGTCGATGCTGTCGCAATTTGTCCTGGTCAGCATAAGTTGTGATGCGCAGATGAGCGAACTGGAAACTCCAATACAGGTTTCGAACTAAGTGAAGAAGTTGTCATCGTACTCACCAACAAGCCAGTACAACACCTGAGTGTTCTCTACTCGCATTCCGTAACGAAGTTGATGCACTCAATCTGCCTTGCTTACCGTGTCCGCGACTTGCTTCAGTGTCTTTGTGGCGTAGTTCTGTTCGTCGCTGATTTTGGCATCGGGCTTCAGTGGTAGAATGACAAACCCGGTAGTGGAAAGCATAATAAGTTCGATATCTGCGGGATGTGACGAAGTTGGCTTGCAAGTCTAGTGATGCAGGAAGTGAGTCGCGGGGCCGATTTTTTGCCCGTGGAGATCTTAGGAGAAATAGTCGAGAGGTGTCTCCAGGGAGGCAACAGAACGAAGGCAGAGAACTGTCTTCTCGAACGCGCTGATGAGCGGAGAGCGAGAGTGAAGTATAGACACGGTCGACAGTGCTTACATGAGTGGCCTTGTGTCCGGAAGTTGTCGTCCGACGGAAACAAAAAGGTTTCGAAGGCGAAAGACTATGAGTGATCGAGGTGACTGACTTTTCCCAACATCAGAACCGATTAGGAAATAATGCCATCTGCATCCATGCCGCACCCCACAGTTTGCAGTGAAATAGCGTTAGACTTCACGTTATATCCGGGATTAACCCAGTAGGCCGCATGCTGAACGTCTGCTAGATCCATGTGCAACGGACTGTGCGCCCGTGAAGAGATGCCCATGATTGTCCATCAGTCCTCACATCCAAACTTCCTTCTTTTCCTCCACGAACTGCCTAAAACTCTTTGGATCCTGCCCTGTAACCTTTTTAACGCCATCTGTAGGATCCCTGCCAAACCCACCAGCAACCTTGACATCTATTTCGGCGAGATAGTTGGCTACAAATGAGTGCATGCCGTTCGCTTGCAAAAGAGCAGTGAAAGCGTCAGGATCCAGTCTTACGTGTGAGATCGTCCGTCCCAGCACGGAGGACAATGTTGCTGCGACCTGAGGAGAGGATCACAAGAGTGGTAAGCAGAAAGATCAACGGACAGACGGCAGGGTGCACTTACATCGTCATAAGTCAAGCTCTCGTTCCCAGTTACGACGTAGTCTGTATTGTGTGGTTTGTCGTCAATCAGAGCCACTTTGACAACGTTCGCGATATCGGATGCCGCTATGAATGGTTTGGAGCCATTCTGAGTTGCTGAATAGATCTTACTTTCCTTGGTGATGGTCGCAAGATGATGGCCCTCGAGGAAGTTCTCCATGAAGAAGTGGGGTCTCACTAGGGCAAATGCACGGTTAGAGAAGAGGTCTAGAAGGAAAGCAGAGTATGAAGCAACAATACGCACCGACCGCCCACTCCACGCCCTCCTCCCTGCCTAATCTCTCCAGCTCTTCGTGTGCCTTTCCCGCCAACATGTCGGCACCCATCTCTAATTCCCACGCACTTAGCAGAACGAAGCGTCTTACTCCTCTACTCCTCGCAAAGTGAATGAATCGTATGACTAAAACACTCGCATCTGCTGTCTCTGGCGAAACGAGATACACCGCCGAGAGGGCTTCTTTTTGTGCAACAGCGTGATCGAATGGGTTGGTGAACGTGGCTTCATCGTTCCAATCGAAGCGGACTGTGGGGTGAGCTGGGCTCTTTGGAGGCGTGCGTGACGCGATGAGGATGGTATGAGTTGGGTGAAGCAGCGTGGCGAGTTGCGAGGAGGTTTTACCGCGAGAGCCTGTGACGAAGATTGTCATCTTGATCTGAGGAGTGGAACGAGAGGGAAACGATGTATTTCTTCCGAGGGAGAACGTCACAGTGGTAATGTCTCAGGCAATCTGAGTGTGGGGAAATTCTGACGTTGGTAATTGAATCTTTTGTATGAGGAAGTTCAGCTGAACCTTAAGCTGAAGTACGGTGTTTTGAATTCATCCTATGCGCATCACTTCCGCATTGGCAACCAGATTACATAATCTGGTCAGGAGTGTTGAACTTGTGACGAAGGCCGAATCACGACGCAGTATTACACCGAATGCACAGAATTGGTGAAACAAGTCACCGGAGCAGCAAAAGTCCGAGTTCATAATTCGACGCCGATCGTGGAAGGCAGCATTCGAGGCTGAGAAGCATCTCTCAGACGATGCTTGATCTGTTGGACCAAGTAATGCGAGATTCGTGCATTGTGGTACGTGACATCTCCCCCGAACACAAAGAATATGTTTATCTTTACTGCAATTCCTGAGGGCTTTGCTGACGTTCAGCCTCTTTTCGCCATAACAATAGACCAATCATACAATTCTGGGCGACGACGCATCCTTAGAGACTTTCTACAAGAAGCGCACCGAATTGACACTACCCGCTGGGCTACTATCGACGTCTGGCGTCCGTTCGACCATTCCGTCACACGAGACGCACTCTGTCTCGCAGACTGCTCTAGCATATGCGAGGACGAACTACGCTACATCACCCTTCGCTTCCCTACCACGAGGCCCTTCGTCAATGGAGCCCGTGCCGCTACGAGGTCGACCGATGGTCAAGATGCTACAATTGCATCACCTCCGGGCCGAGAAAGATCGGATGAAAGGCAGCAAGCCGATTACTACGCTCGCCCATCCGATAATACTGCTGTAGAAAGCTTGCAATGTGCCGCCCCTAAGTCGCCGGTTCAACATAAATGGTACTATGTCTCGGCTATGCAGCCTAGTGAAGCTCTTTTGTTGAAGATAAGTGGTAGCAAGATCGACGGTGCTGCCAATCGCTGTTTCCACACGAGCTTTGAGAGTGATGGCGATTATGAACCGGAGAGACATAGTCTGGAGGTTAGATGCTCTGTCATATGGGAGTAGTAGAAACCGAGGATGAAGTCACACCTTTCAAATACATTGCGGCAGGCGAGGCAATGTCATGAGGGATGAGTTAAAGATGCAAGTAGCTTTTGATACGGAGTAAGCCACGCGTGGAAAGCGGTATGTGCCCGCGGAGCATGGACTGACGCTCAAGTAGTACTCGATATGGAAACAGTCAGCGGCGCGGCCTCGCCGGGATAGCTCATTCGATGGCTTGCCTTCTGAATAGAAACTAAGGACCACGTACTTTCCAGAATTCTGCTCGAGCAGTCGTAACGACCGTGGCCGGAGAATTGCGTCAACGCCTGAGGCTTACCAAAGTGACGCGACTCCTCTTGGCAGCCAAGTTTACTTGGTATAGCCACACGCTCGTACTGTTTGACTAGCGTGAAACAACGCTGCCAGATTACCTCCCGTATCGTTGCCACGAGTTGATGGTATATTATGCGTCCGGTCATGGTGTGACATCAACCCCATCAACCATGTTCGCCGCCTACAAACAACTCCCTTTACCTGTTCCTCATCATCGTTCGTCGGCAGTAGCGATGATAACATTTGTTCGCATCTTCTTCGTCTCAGGGCCTCCTTTTCCTGGCGACCATGTGTGGACCTATTCTGACAGCATTGAACCAGATCCCGCAAGCAGTTCTGTCTGGGCTGTTTATCGTTATGGGTCTACAGACACTCATGGCCAATGATGTCGTGGCTAAACTTGTCTGGGTAGCGCAAGATCGATAGACGATCTATGCAGAAGATCCACTGTTAGACTGCCGTAAGGTTGCAGTACGATTGATCCTAGGACTCCAACTTGGCGCTTTTGTGGCATGCTTCACCATCACACAAACGATAGCAGCGATCGCGTTCCCGATATTCATCGTACTAATGATTCCTTGCCGGATCTGGCTCCTTCCAAGGTGGCTTACGAATGCCGAGCTCGAAGTACTGGATGGCCCTGTTGCAAGCGAATTCGTAATGCAGAGCGTGGGCGGTAATGCAAAGTTATGACCAGCGCTCTCAGCATTTGGCCTAAGCCCACCTGACCAGGCTCGCGATCAACGCTGGGTCCAGCCTTCTCCATAGATGATGATGACCGTTATTGAGCTAGATTGTAATTCACAAAGCACTGTCTTCGGACAGAACTGTATCAGGCAGTTCGTAGACCAACGAATACACATCAAATCCATTCTCGTTGCTCACCAGCCTTTTTTGTGTTCCATTTTGCGCCATGCATGATCTTTTATCACCAGTACTTGTCTATTGTAGAAACCAGATAGCAGATGTACCCTGCTATGACCTCTGAATTCATCTATCCAACGCGGCTGAGCCCTCCATTGTAGCCTCTCGTTGCTGTCAAGTCGCACAAGCTACTGTACCTTCACTATCAGCAGCTCCGTCACCGCCGAACTCTTGCCACAGCATCCATCTAATAATCCAATTATCTCCATCGCCTATCTGGTATAGTTGGTACACTGCCCTGGTTTCCTCCGAGGCTGATCCAAACACCCGTGCAATTTCGGCACGCATAGCAGCTTCGCTAATGTGACGGTGAATTTCTAAGTCTGAGGAACGAGACATAGTTCGTCGTGTAGTGGTGAGCAGCCTTTGCTCGCCCAAGGTGATCTCTTCCTGTCCAGTCATCAACGTACAGTCCGTCAACACATTGCTTCGAGGTTGATCCCACCCTCATCTTTGCAAACACTGCCTCGTCTTCAGCGTGTTGACGATCGACGCCATTGTGGATGCGCGCGGCTTGTTGCATCTCGGAAAATTCCAGCTTGAGGAGATGACTACAACAATGGGGTGAGACAAACTGCCATCATCATCCATGTGAGCCAACTCAAGAGCTTCGCCCCCCTCACAAAACTTTGGCCTATCATGCCTCTCGATGCATCCTTTGTGCAACGTACGCACATCATGACGTGCATGTTCAATCCTTTGCGAATTCCAGGCCCTCGTCCCGCCGGGCTCGCTTGAGTCGGCGCACACACTTGCAGTCCACCCGGAGCACCTTCACACCGCATGTGTTGACTAGCTGCTCCGGTAAGCTCGCTTCTCCGGGGATTGAATGTGACATCCGCACTCGGCATGGATGTGTGTCAAACATTTGAAATACCGTCGAAGCTGCGCTGCTCCGTCCGCATGAAATTACTACCTCCAGGATAGTCGGTACGAGCTGTCTGCAGCAGACTGCATGGGCCTGCCTAGATGGCCGGGCTGGCTCGTGCTCAGTTCGTAAGTGCCCAGTTATAAGTAACTTGGTACAGCATGCGCCTCAGACCAAGACCATTCTGCCGTTCGTGCCGTTATCAATTGAGATTTGTCAATATTGCCATGCACGATGCACCGCTTGAGTAGCCGGAAGCTGAAGACCAAGACAGGCTGCCTCACGTGTGTGGCGCGAAGGAAGAAATGTGACGAGGCTCCCAGCAGATGCGGCAACTGTACTCGACTCAATATCACCTGTGTATGGCGAGAGCACACTCAGAGCGATGGGCTCCGTGCTATCACATCCACGAACTTGAGAGCAAAAAGCGGACTAGTCTTGCACACAACTATCACCAATGGCTACCCTCCATTTCGAAGCGATCTTGAGAAGCAGCTTACCCTGGAAGCTCCCGAAGTGTTGTCTGCGCTAGTGTCGTGCATGGCCAGTCCAGATTTTCAAAAGGCATCGTTACTCGGCACGTTCTCCACCGAAAGTCGGGTGGTTCGTCATGCACTCGTGGCTTTTTCTGCACATACCTCCGCCCCACGGAGCGAGCACTCCTACCGGCTGTCCTTGGGAAGCTACCAGGATTGTATCATGGAGTTGAGGGCATCTCTTCCCCGTGGTGTGCAAAGCGCTGCAGAACAGGACCATGCGCTAGTAGCAGTGATGTTCCTGGGATTGCTCGAGGTAAGCAGGGTGCTCGGTAAGCGGTCGAGAGGAGGCTGATCCGCTCCAGGGGCTGCAAATAGGAGATTCTAGAAATGCAGTGACGCATTTTGACATGTGTCAGAAGTTGCTGTCAGCCCGACTCTCTGACGAAGGAGTGCCGAAGGACCCAGCTCTTGTCAAGGTGTATCGTCTTGCCGCAGAGTGCATTATGTACAACGTGGCAACGTTACTACCATTCGATACCCGCCTCGATCGGGTAGTCAGGGACTGGGGCTCATCCTTTGAGTGCCTCTTCCCCGCGAACGATCATGAGCTCAGTCCTTTCCTTGGCGGTTTCCATGATATCTATCGACTCATGATGAACATCAATGTTTACCTTCGAACATTTCAGCCGGGCAATTCAATGCAGCATGACCTTCTCATAGGAAGACAAAACTCGAATCAGGTACTAGCGACGTTACAAACAGAGTTCCGTATGCTAGAAAACAACATTCCTGCCTCATACGACCGGGTAGACGGTGCAGCGGGAACGAGGCTTTATATAGCTAAGCGGAGAATTTCTGTCCTGGCATTGAAAATTCACCTCTCTAAAATCAGAGAGCCTACCATGCTGGCATCTGATCTGCCCGTTCGACAATCTGTTCAGGAAGCATTGGAGATCTTGAGGCACGAGGACCTCAGAGAACCAGGTAACCCGGCCTTGCGGTGGCCTCTGACTATTCTGGCCTGCGCCACAGACAATGATTTGGATTTGCAACTTGTCGTTGCGAAGATGAAAGAATTTGAGCTCATACTGGATCCATCAAATGCGTTCAAGCTTCGATGCTCGTACATATTTCTTCAGCAATGGGCAGAAGGTGTCATTCAAACGGGTCTGAAAACGCCTATGGACATTTTTTTGCTCGAGCCTATGTGTCCCGCGAAGCCACTTTCGGAACTCTAGGCATGGCCTGTCGAATCTGGTTTCATAAGAGGGTCTGAGGGGAGAGCTCCTAGCTTTTGACTTGAGTCCAGGACTGAGCGCCAAGAAGCATGACATTTATTCAGTCTTGACACTCTTAGACCGGTGTGAACTACAAGAAGTGGTAGTCATAGCACCATGTAATAAGTTATCTTATCTAGCTCGTTTGTTGTTCACGTCAGGTGATTCATGATATTCGCGAAACAGATCTCCACGGGATTCTCGGACGGTGCGGTGTGTAATTGGCACGGTCAAAGTCGCTGTGCCCTCCAAATGTATGGAAAGATCGAAGTAGATGATCACAGCGATCGATGAGACCCGAGTCATCGATGCGGCTGACACACAAAAGTGCATTCGCACTGGGAACCAATAGCATAGCGAAGCGCCGTGCATCGCCGGCCCCCTGTCCCCCATACCGATTGGGAAGGTTGGTGTAACATAAATCCTGGTTCAATCGCTGCTGCCCTCACGAAGAATATGATATATAAAAGAGAAGATGAACGAGGTTCCTGTCTCTGCATCCTAACAACAAAGTCCGTCACAATCACAATCACAGACGTCAACAGGCTTGCTACGAATCGATTCATTTGTCTGGCAGATCTTCGAAACCACAGTCAGTATGGTTCAACGAACAGCATGTTGCTGACGTGGGCTGACAACTTGTATGGAGATGTGCTATCTCAACCTCATAACATGGACCCAATGTGGCCACTTTCGTGTTATGAGACAGAAATGCACAGAAGCAGAGCAACGACAAAAGGCGGCGTATTGTACAATGGCACACGAACCAATCGCCACAGACTTAGCCTTCCTCTGTGATGCTTGTCGGGGCACTGCTCTCAACTCTCCCGACGCTCAATACTCCAAAAGTATGACGCGTGGCGTCCCGGACAAGAACCGAAGTAGTCTCTGATTGCACGTGAGGGGCGATCTCCACGATATTTGATTGAGTAGAGGCGATTCTTATATTTCTGGACATCGAACGATGGGACACAAAGCTGCAATTGCCAATGTCTACAGTTAATTCTCATCACTACTACCAGTCTCAATACATTACATCGTGCTCAAGATGGACCAGTGAACTATTTGGAACCAGGCACAAGGAGAGCAAGGAGGAACTCGTATTTGGCCTCCATGCTCTTTCCTGCCGTTCTGAATCAATTCGTGTAGATGATCTATGGGGTAGTGTCTCCGATGCCGTTCCAATTCTCCTGTAGCTCACTACGGGGCATTCAGTATGCATCAACCCTGCAGTGGAACTAGCCAACTTTCCATCTTATCCACTGCAATAACATTGGCATACGCCTTTTCTGCGGTACTCGTCAGCAGAAGCGCGATACGGACTCTTTTATTTCAACTCTGATACTCACGTCAAAATGCCATACCAGCGCGTGGCCGTACCGCTGTTGCACTGTATAGGGAATGATATCAGCATGCTGCCCCACTGAACCGAGAAACTCGCTGCTACGAGAGGACTGACCTGTGACTTGCAAAACAAATCATCGCAAGCGTTGGTCCCAGTGCAGGGGTACTTGATGGCCTGCCTCCTAAGCTGTCCATGGTATGGCTGACCGCAGTTGAAATTCGTGTTTGCTACCAGTTCTGCAGACGTAGTAGCCGCAATCACAAAAATGACTGAGAAGATGTGAATCTGCATGTTGAGTGTGCAGTGGTGATGGTTTGACGGTGACCCCTTGTGGGTAGGCTCCTCTGCAGAGGGTATTCGATCAAGTGTTAAAGTCGGTATAATAAAGATGTCTGATTCTATGGAAGGTAGCGAACGAGCTGGCTCTATATACTACTGCCGGAACGGAAGAACCGGCAGTTAGGGCTAATTCCGGTTTATGCGAGGTGGCTGCTATGGCCAAACCGATACTAGCAATCTCTCTTTCTCGTATGAATCGTTCAGAACCTGGTTAGTTCACCTTTTAACCTATCCTTAGACGTTGCATAATATCGTTCCTTGATTAATAAGCGTCGTTAATGCCTTGTTCGGTATTGATTTAGTTATAGAGTTAGCAGGGTTAGTAGTACCGTTAATCTAGCGTACCTTATAAACCTCTCTAGCCTCGTATATCTGCCTTAGT